AAAGAATGCTTGAGAAGAAACGGCAATTTCGTTCGAACTTTTGTTGTAGAGTATGTAAATCCAGTTGGCTGCGCAGATCGTGCTGCTGCTGCCGCATCAGCAATTTTATCACTACCATCTTTACCGTTATCTTCTTTTATTTCATTGGATGTGCCTTCATCTTTTCCTGAGCAAGGCCGCAAATCTGGCTTACATTCTGCTGAGTCAATGTTTTCGTCATCTGAATCAGCTTGCTGCCTGATTTCGTGAGACTCTACTACAAGGTCTTCAGATGGAGCACATGAATATCCAGATTCGTCTTCAGACAGATCCTTGCCACCGAAATCCTATAACAGGGAAATTGAGTTACAGAAAGAAACGAACAAAAGCCGCTGAACAGAAGAACACAGGAGACTTAAAAGCATACCTCCTTATACCTTGCAAGCAATTCTTCAATAGGCATTTCACTCTCCTTCTGCAGCAGAGCAATCTGTAGTACAAGGACAAGTCTCTCTTTGTAAACTCTCTAGCAAACAACGTTTTCATATAACAGAAAATAAGAATAACTAATATATGCTTGTTACCTCGTCCACAGGATCCTCATTATCTGCTTTTGCCAATTCCTCTTCGACTAACAGTGTCGTCTCATCATCATCCTGCACCAAAAAGAGAAAATATACAATTTGAAGTTTTGAACCCATATGTTCGTTCAAAATAAACCTTCGACAAGAGCCCAAAGGCCAAGGCTAAGAAATCAAGTAATGAGAGTAAAGTCCCGAAATAACAGTCTCAGGCCTCTGATAGAGACTGACCTTTTCCTCCCCAGTGGCAGCAACAAAGTCAACATCCTCCTGCAAATGTTGGCACAGTAGAGAAACAGAAAGTTCAGCACTTTTGCAGTCAGAATCAGAGACTCATGAGAAAAACATGGGTAAGGTCTTCTGACAAAGGATACACAAAGGAAATCAGATTCCAGTTACCTGCTCATCATTGAAATCATAGGCCTGATCTTCCTTTCCGGACTTCACAGAGGCAGTTTTTGGGCCTGGCTTGTGGTCATGTGAATGGGTCTCGGATACTGCTAAATGATCAAAGCTATCATTCTACAAATAAAGGATAAATATTACATTTGAGCCAGAATTTTGATTGCAAATCAGATAATAGGATTTTAAAAAGACATACAACTTACAGAACGACGAACACTTGGGCTGCCTTCAGTTTCTTCAGAAGCTGTAAGATTGTTTTTGTCAGCTGCACATGTCAAATGGGAAGAAAGTCAACGAGCAGTTTCATTGCTTCAAATACATTATAAGAACTTAATACCGCTCACCCTCTATTTGATCTTCACCTACTGATGCCAGATTAACTTCATTTTCATCGTTTTCTGGGCTGGTTTCTCCGCTCACTGAGGATGCAATTCAAACAGTTGAAACTCATGGAGGATAGAACTTGTGTATATTACAAAATGCGGGGGAAAAAACAATGTAAAGCGAGTGTACAGTTATGCCAACCTCTACCAGCAGTATAACGTCTGAGTAGCTCCTCAACTGGTAGATCCACTTCATTTTGCAAAGCTTCCAACTCTTGCTGCCTTTCCTGTTTGGTGAATTGCTTTTCATCCTCCTCAATAGTATCTTCATCATCTTCCTAAGTGTAATTATGGGTTTGAAATTAGATATGGGAACATACTTCTCTTCTAATGATCAGAGATACAGAGCTAATTAAACTGTTATCATTTAATTCTCAAAAAAAAACGATTTCCGTTGTAAACGTGTGTCATATCTCTTAAAAAGAAAGCACAAACATATTATTATCCATCTTTTCTATAAGGTGCAGGTCGATTCAAACTGTGACACACATTAACTGCCAATAAGTGGTAATATATAGTTTTAAAATTTTTATAAATTACTCACAGACGCATCCTCGGAATTGAGATCGTAATCCTCATCGACATCAAGAGTTCCTGATTCAAGACCTGCAGCTACAATGTCACGAGATTTGTTAGGACATAACTCACTTGCTTACAGTAAAAACATGCGGAGTTGAGTAATGTGGTGCTCACAAGCATTCAACTCCAAAGGTGTCTCTTCTGTCCTTTCCTCGTCACTTTTTGACTCAATAGCCAGCATAGTTTTTGGAGAGTTGTCCTGACCGTGTTTATAAGGCTCCACTAAATTTTCTGCCAACATAGTTGAGTACCTAACATACACCAACAGATTAACTCAGTCTTTATTCACCATATACCACAATTACAAATGTAAGAAAAATTCCATAGTAACCTCTCAGTCTGGCCTAACAGAAACTCAAGTTGCTTATCCATAACCTTCTTCTTTTTCTCATTGCGTACTAGCTGATGCTTATACAACACCTATATAATTCGCAATCCCCACAAAGGAAAACAAGTTCAGATACTCAAAAGTTATACCAAACCTTAAGTTTCAAGGGCCAAAAAATTACCAGCTTCTCAACTTTGATCCAAAACTTCTTAACGTCTTTAGAGATATTAAGCGCTACTTTCCTTAGTCGCTGTTCTTCCTCCTGTAAAAAAAAATCAAAACTCTCACTTCAAAAAAAAAAACGCTGGAGTATGTAAGTAGACTAAACAGAGAACAAAAAAAAAAAGAGAACCTTTAGCTTCCTTTCTTCCCTAGAAGCTTGATCTAACATCCCTTTACTAGCTCTCAAAGCAACTTTCTTCGCCTGAGCCAACTTCCATTTCCTCTCCGCCTCAAAATCCTAACCAACAAAACTCACTCATTTAGCAATAATCCATGCATCTGAATAATCAAAACTAATTTACCTTAGAGAGCCAAATCATCTCCTCCAAAACATGGTCCCAGTGACTCTTAGCTCGACGCGGTTCTTTAGGAGCTTCCAGCGTCTGAAAAAAAAAACAAAGAAAAGGTTAAAACACGTTTCTTGCAAATCTTGAGTAGAATCTATGAGCTAACCTTGTGTCGCTTAGGTTTGGAGTCGCTATCAGCTCTAGATTTGGCGGTTTTGGAAGACATTGCTGAATCAGGAATCGACTTTCCACCTCTAGACGCCATTTACTAGCTTCCTACTCGTAAGCAAAGAAAATTAGGGTTTCTACATCGAGCGGCGATAAGCTCCACGAAACGAATCCATCACTAATACGGTTGCGTCACGGTTAAAAAAAAATACGGTTTCGGGATATTGGAAATTTTTACAGCTAATGTTACCGACTTAATCTAGGTTAAAAAGAAAAAGAAAATTTCAGTTTCTCGGATAGAACGGGAACGACTTTTTTTTGTTTTGTTTTCTCTAATGAAATCTCTTTACTTGGTAGTGCGATGTGGTTTGAGATCGGTAAGGGAGAAAGAAAATGGAGAGGAGAAGAGAGATAACGCGCGGCGCAGATAGATGAAAGAAGGGTTGTTGGGTCTCGTAACCCTCTTTTTCCTTAAGTTATTATTTTTATAATTTAATCTCTGTGAAATATTAGGATTTGTTTAATCATTTGATGTGAAATGTGATTTATAATACTTAAATGAATTTATTTGATTGTATGATGTGCTTTATAGAACACGATAGGTGTAAATTGCTGTTAAAATTGTTATTATTTGAAAGATTATAGAAAAAATTTTCAGATACAACTAAGTTTTTCTATCATAAACTAGATCCTTTTTCCGCGCTACGCGCGGATAACATATTTTGAAAATTTTCAATTTTTACATGTTTATAAATTGTTACATTTGACATAACATCTTTTTAAATAATTGAATAGTCAATGTGGAATTATTGTATTGTTTGTAAACTGGCTTGAATAAAATATAAAATTGTATTATGAATTAAATGTATGAGGAAAAAATANAACTAGATCCTTTTTCCGCGCTACGCGCGGATAACATATTTTGAAAATTTTCAATTTTTACATGTTTATAAATTGTTACATTTGACATAACATCTTTTTAAATAATTGAATAGTCAATGTGGAATTATTGTATTGTTTGTAAACTGGCTTGAATAAAATATAAAATTGTATTATGAATTAAATGTATGAGGAAAAAATATTAATAACACTGTTCTAAACTTCAATCATGAATTTAAAATATTGTTGAATGTTAGTTTAAGACTGAAACCATTGTGAATATGTTTTATAGTGCAATATTGAATTGAGTGAACCAAAATTTGATAATACGTAACATAAATTTTGTAAAAAAAAATAACATTATATTTAATGAACATATTTTTTTATTCTATTATATTACTTTTATTTTATTCTTTATCATTTTCTACATTTCTTTTAGAATGTTTAAAAAAAAATATTCTAGAAGTTGTTCACACAATAAATATATTATTAATTATATGAAATTATCTTTTTAGTTATGTTGAATTAATATGACATATAAATAATATTGTACCTCAAAATTTTGTTTTAGAAATGAGCAGTCATCATTTTATTTTTGTTACTAAAGATATGTATCAGTATTATAATTGCAAAAATAGTGTTACTAAAATATTTTATAGTTAGTAATAGACCATATCTTTAAACATATAATTTAGTGTGAAAAGTTATTAAAAATGATAAAACTTAATTTTTTGGGTCTGGATGCTAAATGTAAAAATATAATTTATATTGTTTAATGGTGTCTCTTGTAATACAAATTTTCAAATCAAATTCTCTTTGTAACTAAACAAAATTATCTTGCATAAGGCAAAAATAAAAAAATGTCATAATCCTTAAATTGAGATAACACAACATTACTGGGAGTATTTCCCAACTTGACATGAAATTTGGTGTTAAAGTTTATTTTTCATCTCCAACCATCACACTAAACTTTACACCAAAACATTTTTTTTATATTTATTAACTTTTTAATTTTGTAAGGAAGAGTCAATGTTCTAATTGCATGAGTGTGACTTCTTCGAATTATTATGCTTGAAGGTTGTTTATAACATGTAGAAATTCTACTAATCACTAAAGGGCTTTAGTAGTTAAATTTTGTTTTCATCATTTATGATTCAAGATATTAAAACACAAACAGCCAAACAATAATCAAGGTATTAAAATGTTTTACTTAAGTATTGACTTGTAAAAAAAAGAATTGACTTGTTGGTATATCAAAAGCCATGTAAGATTGTACACTTTTAGAATAAAAAAAAATATACTTGCTTACATACCCCCATTTTCATTGTAAAACAAACTTAAGATTGTTCTCTCTCCCCTCCACTATAACCAAAATATTTCAAAGTTATTGCTTTTATAGTACGTTTGCTCTCCATCCCGTGTAAATCAAACTGGTTCTTCCAGTGAATCTATAAAGTGTCAAATCTTTAAATTTATAGCAAGATCATGAATTTCAAACACGTGTAGAGAATCTTATGTCAAGAAACATCAGAAAACGAAGAAATCTTTAAATTTATAGAAAAGATCATGAATTTTGCTGCCTTTGCGAGGATAACAAAAGTATCAAGTGAAAGTAAACATCAGAAAAAGAGGCAAGGAGATAGATAAAGAAAATAACCCAACCTTGGATTTTCCAGCCCTAGCAGCGGCAACAAGTGAGGGAACCAACAATCTATCATCGGGACCAAAAATGCTGCTGGGACGTATGCAGCGGGTGAGTAGTCCATTTCTGCCATTGGCATTCATGATCAATGCTTCTCCTTCAGCTTTAGTTGCTGAATATGAATCATTGTGCTGAAAGCAAGAAGAATATATTAAAGCAACCAAGCTCCAGTGAAAGATAAGAGAATCATATATATATATATATATATATGTGTGTGATATAGTAATTAATACCTTGGATGGGTAAGCCTTTGATTCACAACCATTTAAAATACCATGAACATCATCAAAGACGACGCTAGGAGAGCTCGTATAGATAAGCCTTTTTACTCCAGCAATGACACAAGCATCAATTACATTTTTGGTTCCTGTAGATTAAAATTTGCATAAAGATGAGAAGTTAACAAAAAGCGAAATTAACAAATGTGTTACCTTGAACATTAACCGAGTACTGAAGGTGGTGATTATTGATAGAAGAATCAGGAGCTGCCATGTGAAACACCACCTCCGCTCCCTGAAAAGCTGTTCCAATGATCCACGAATCAGAAATCAATTGAATAGAGTTGAGAGAGGGTGGTAAGATCACCTTTGACGACTTGAGATTTCTCGCGGAGATCAGCGGATACATACTGAACACGACCAGATCTCATTGCGTCGCCGAGAACTCCGCTCTGTTCCTGAGGATCGAGCTGAATCGACCGGGCCAAATCAGCGATTCAGACGAGGAACATCTCGTAGCATACAAGCATTTCAACCAGATGTCTCGCCGCGAATCCTCCACCACTGGTAACGACGCACCATCGCTCCGCCTCCGGCGTCATGTCTTTATCAGCGAGAAAGATGAGTTTTCAAGAGAAAGTGACAGTGGGAAAGAAACTCATTAGACAGGGCAGGTTGCTTCATGTAGACCGAGAGTAAGATCTCTGGAAAACATCAGTTGATCGGCTATGGTGGGTTGGAGCGCCGTAGGACGTTTTGGTGTTGTCGGAGTGGGAGTCAAAACAGAAGTCTTTCCATGAGTTTTGAAGTCGATTGAGCCGGAAGCAGAAGACTTGCCCTTTTGCTGAGCCGTCGAGGAGGAGGAGAGGATCTTCTTCTTGGTCTTCTCACCGGTGGGGGCTGGAGGTTTCGATTTGGGTTCCATGGGAATTTTCGTGTGAGAGAGAAGAGGCTCAGAAAGTTTAATCGTTAGGTAAACATAAGGGAAAGGGAAAGATTTATAAACACACAGCCGGTGAAGAAGGTAAGGTGAGCAATCCATTGAAAGAGAGGAGATGAAGGATTGAATAGGTTGAAGAAAATTGATTAGAAAGGAAGTGGGTTGGATTAATGGTGGAAACTGAAGAAATCGAAGAGAAGACAGGAAGCGGAAAGGATAGATAGATCTGGAAACTGAACTTAATAGATTATGCCTAATTATTATCGACACAAACCAAACCAGAAATTAAGAAGCCCAAACCAAGTACTACAATTTATTACAGAACCAAAACCAAACCAATACATCAGAAAACCAAAGCAAATCGTGTTTATATTAAAAACCAGGATCAGAAATCAAACCAAAGCTTAGGTGGAGCTTTAGAAGAATTTAAGTGGTTGATTAAAAGTGTCGATGTGGCAGCCTAATTTGGCTTCATTTGCAACTTTTATTAGTGTTAGATNCAAGTACTACAATTTATTACAGAACCAAAACCAAACCAATACATCAGAAAACCAAAGCAAATCGTGTTTATATTAAAAACCAGGATCAGAAATCAAACCAAAGCTTAGGTGGAGCTTTAGAAGAATTTAAGTGGTTGATTAAAAGTGTCGATGTGGCAGCCTAATTTGGCTTCATTTGCAACTTTTATTAGTGTTAGATATAGCACATAACGGTCAAAATGTTTAATTAAAAAAGTAAAAAAATATTTATATCGTTAGAGTTAACTAATAACTTGAAAATGTAAATTACTGTAAAATTGTTATTACTTGACAAAATATAGATATTTATTAGATACAACTAAGTTTTTTTATTATAAATATAGCACATAACGGTCAAAATGTTAATTGCAAAAAGTAAAAAGATATTTATATCGTTAGAGTTAACTAATATAGACATGAAAATATAAACTGCTGTAAAAAATTGTTATTATTTAAAGGATTATAGAAATTTTTTTGGATACCACTAAATTTTTTTATTATAAGTACATCACATAACGGTCAAAATATTTAATTAAAGAAGTAAAAAAATATTTATATCGTTAGAGTTAACTAAAATAGACTTAAAAAGAACTATATTCAACTAGAAGTTTGGAATAATTCGTATTAAAATGATTAATTTATTATTATCCCAACTTGGTTTTGAAAAAACAAACATTTTAAAATTTAGTTATTAAACTTGTTATTTCATGAACACTTTGAAAGCCACATATTTTAATATGTTTGAAATATCTCTAAAATATTTAAGATGAGTTGGTTAGTTATAAAATAAAAAATTCAAATCTCATAGTTTTAATGAGATTTTAAAGTTTTTAAAATTCTCAGATTCACCTAAAATTATTTAAAAATTCATTAAATTAAATTATTTCAAATTTATGGTTCAATACTCTCAGAGTTTAAATTTGACACTTATAGTTTAGATTTGAGAGATGTAGTTTAGGATCTTTAAAAATATATGTAAAATTTAAAATGACAATTTTTAAAAAGTTTCAAAAAGAATTTTTGGTTTTCAAAATAAAAACTCAAAGAAAAAAAATAGAGACTACAGAAATCACAATTTTAATTTTTTTGTTAAATAATATTTTTCCAAATTTTTTTATTTTTTTTAAACAATTTCCAAACTTTTATCTTTGTGCAATGAAGGAAGTATGATTATTTTTTAAAAAAAAATCTGAAAGTGAGGAGCCATTAAACCAAATATGACAGGTGGTGGAAGTAAGTAGAAAGGAAAAAGAAACACGAGTTGTGACTTTTGTCTTGACTCGTGATCATGGACTCTCCGTTCAAACCTGATGTTCTCAAAGGCAACGTAGCTCTCATCACCGGCGGCGGATCCGGCATCGGCTTCGAAATCTCCTCTCAGTTCGGCAAACATGGAGCTTCCATCGCCATCATGGGCCGCCGCAAGCAAGTCCTAGACGCCGCCGTCTCTCATCTCCGTTCTCTAGGGATTCCGGTAACTCCTTCTCCATGTCTAAGATAAAGAAAGTATGTTTTTGAGTTTATCACACTCTCTCTCTCTCTGTCTCTCTGTGCGTGTGTCTTAGGCTATTGGGTTTGAAGGTGATGTTCGTAAAGCAGAGGATGCAAGAAGAGTCGTTGAATCAACTTTTAACCATTTTGGTAAGGTTGATATTCTTGTTAACGCCGCCGCTGGAAACTTTCTTGCTTCTGCTGAGGATTTATCCACCAATGGCTTCCGAACAGGTGGATCATCATTTAGTTGTTCACTTTTGAGTCTTGTGTCTATGGCTAAAGGAGACTTTTTGTTTTGTTTTTTTTGCTGTTTTTCTAGTTTTGGACATTGATGCTGTGGGAACATTCAACATGTGCCGTGAAGCATTAAAGTATCTTAAGAAAGGAGGGCCTGGGAGAGACTCATCAGGCTCCGGTGGTTCGATTCTCAACATTAGTGCTACTTTGCATTACACTGCTTCTTGGTACCAAATACATGTCTCTGCTGCCAAGGTGATTGACTAATCTCTGCTTAACGCTTCAGGATGTTATTGTACTAAATGGTTTTTTTATTTTTTTAAACATTGAACTAAGGCTGCAGTTGATGCTGCGACAAGGAACTTGGCATTGGAGTGGGGAACTGACTACGAGATTAGAGTGAACGGGATTGCGCCAGGCCCTATAGGAGATACACCTGGAATGAGTAAACTTGGACCTGAAGAGATTGAGAACAGAGCTGGAGATCATATACCTCTCTTTAAGCTTGGTGAGAAGTGGGATATAGCCATGGCTGCAATCTACCTCAGCTGTGATTCTGGTAAGTTGAGTTTAAATTATAGTATTTTTACTTTGAAATCAATATATAAAAGATAGAACATTTGGGTGGTTTGGTTAATAGGGAAATATGTGAATGGACTGACAATGGTGGTAGATAATGGACAGTGGCTTAGTAGACCTCGACATTTACCAAAAGATGCTGTGAAGGAACTCTCTCGTGTTGTGGAGAAGAGGTCCAGGGCCAAACCGACCAGTAAACTTTGAAGTTTCAGATCCCATATTAGTGTGTTGTTGGGTTTAGTGTATTATGTTGAGGACAGGCAAGAAATGATATAAAGATTCTGTTGGTTGAAGACAACAGTAGACCAGTAAACTTGAAAAAGAACATTTACCACTGCCTTGTTTGGTTTTGTGATTGTATTACATTGGAGACAAACAATATGGTAATAAGATTCTGTTGATGAAGCATCTTCTTTGGTAATACAAAACATCTAGAATGGTTGTGATTAGGCTTGGGATTTTGAACGGAACTCGCCAAACCAGGTTAGAAGTTAAATTCGGTAGTCTAAAAATTGGGTTTGAAACCATCTCCGCTATTGGAGAATTAACATTTCAGCATAACCAGAGACATGTAACCGACATGTGTCAACACGTGATTAGTTTAGAACACTTTTGTGAGAACATGATACCTTTGTACTGTAAGCTCAAGAATTTAGAGCTTGATAGGTTATTGCAGTGAGAGAGCTTTGGTTCGTGATGTGTGTTACACATGGAGAATGATGTGTAACACAAGATTCAGAGAATATAAAGGAAACGCCAAAAACGATGATGTGGAATATTTTCCATATGTTTGGTTGACGAAATTAGGAGATTTATGATGATAAAATATAGGGAAATAATATATTAAATAATAGGAAAAGATTATTTAATATATATCTTGGTTTTACTTAGATTTTGTATCTAGGGTTTTTCACGTTGTAATTCTCAGAGGGAAACACAAAGGGTTTTGGGGTTTCATAGCTGAGTGAATTGGTAGGCTTGATCAACAGGTGTTGAGGCAAGCAACTTGGGTGTTTTAGGAATCGATCCGTGGCGAGTCGTATAATTCGGATCAAACAAATCTGTAAGAGAATGTGTAAAAGATTTCTAATAAAAGAGATAAGAGTCTTTTGGAATTACTGTGTGCACTATATTTCTCGCTGTATCTCGATTCTACAATTGGTATCAGAGCGGGACACCTAAACAAAGAAGAGTTCTTTGAACCAAGGTGAGATCTTGAGAGAATATGGCGATTTTAGCACATAATATGTTGCTGCTGAATGATGTGAATTATGGGTATTGAAAAGTGAGAATGAGAGCAAACTTACGTGGAACTGATGAAGATATCTGGACAGTTGTTCAATCTGGATGGGAAGAACCATATGTGATGGTAGAAGATGGTTTGAAGACACCTAAACCAAAGACAAAGTGGACTGCAACAGAGAAAAAGCTTTCAAAGTTTAATGCAAAAGCATTAAAGTTCGCTGAGGTAGTAGGGATTTTAAAGGCTGAGGAGATGGAATTAGAATCTAAGTTGTCAAAGCATGTTCAGAATTCAAGAATTTCAGTTGATGGGGAAGACATCCAAAGAACTTAAAAACTTGAAGAATCTATGCACCTAATGATTCAGAAACTTGAAGAAACCATGGATCTTTTGTATAAGATGTCCAACAGTAGACTGCCTAGAGAAGAAGAAAGACATAGAAAGCAAGAAGTGATGTGTTTTAATTGTTATGGTATTGGACATGTCAAAACAGATTGTCCTCATTCAAGAGAAAAGAAATCAGGTGTAATGGATGTAATGGTTATGGACACATAAAATCAGATTGTGTGAACACAAAGAAGATGAAGATGAAGATAAGTTGCAGTGATAAAAATTCAGAAGGAGAGGGAGATGCTCTCAACTTTGTGGCTCTTCATGGAGTTCTAGGGTCTGAAAAAGACATCACTAAAGGTGAAACTCGTTCGTCGTGTGTGTCGCACACCAATTCTGATGTGTCACACAGTGATATAGAAAGTGATATAAATGTAGATCTTTTTGCTGAGTATCAGGTTCTCTTTGGTCAATTTGCTAAACTCAGTGAAGAAAATATGCAACTGATCAAAGATAAAGCAAGGCTGGAAGTACAAGGGAACATTCTAGAGTCCGAAAATAACAATAAATCAGAGATTGGGATGTCAAAAGAAGAGAAAGAATCAGATCTACATAAGACAATCTCTGAGCAGGCCTACAATCTAAAGAGTGTGGAGACCAAATATGAGCAGACAAAACAACTACTGAATGAGGAACTTGAGAAAAATCAGCTGTTGCAAAGAGAACTCAGTGAAAATTACAAAAAGTTAAGGATGTTGAATAAAGAATCTGAAACTTTAGATCATATTTTATCACTTGGACAATCTCCAAAGGTGAACTGGGGTTTAGGTTACAAGGGTGCTGCTCCAAAAAGTCAAGCTAGTCTAGTCAATGTTATCAACTTTGAAAAAGATACTGCCTCTCACCCTAAAAGTAGCTCAAAAGTCGAGAAAACACATACATTTGCACCTGTGGAAAAGGAACATAAGGCTCAGACAAAAGTTCACCCTCCCAAATCTGCAATAACTCGGAGGAATGGATGTTTTCTTTGTGGGAATCATGGTCATAATGTTGCGTTCTGTTATTCTCAGAGAAACCAGATTGAGAGAGCCTGGAGGATGGACCTTTGTTATGTGGAACCCAGAAGGTATGGACATATATGGATAGCTAAAAAGGATCTGTATCCTAAGTTTACAAAATGTGTGTCACACGAGCATACCAGTGTGTCATACACTCGAATGGAAGACCAATATACTGAGCCTGAAGAACCAGATCAATGGGTTTCTACTAGAAGGTGTTGAGAGTTTTGATGGTCTAACAAGTATCATAAAGTTTTTCAAAGAGTTTTTCACTCAAGCAGGGGGAGATGATACTTGATTCAGGGGGAGTAGCAGTCTATACTTTTGGTGTGATGTATGAAGCATAGTGTGTTAAAGGTTAGTGAGCTTGAGTTGTAAAACTCAGTGAAAAAGGGGGAGAATGTAAGCTCAAGAATTTAGAGCTTGATAGGTTGTTGCAGTGAGAGAGCTTTGGTTCGTGATGTGTGTTACACATGGAGAATGATGTGTAACACAAGATTCAGAGAATATAAAGGAAACGCCAAAAACGATGATGTAGAATATTTTCCATATGTTTGGTTGACGAAATTAGGAGATTTATGATGATAAAATATAGGGAAATAATATATTAAATAATAGGAAAAGATTATTTAATATATATCTTGGTTTTACTTAGATTTTGTATCTAGGGTTTTTCACGTTGTAATTCTCAGAGGGAAACACAAAGGGTTTTGAGGTTTCATAGCTGAGTGAATTGGTAGGCTTGATCAACAGGTGTTGAGACAAACAACTTAGGTGTTTTAGGAATCGATTCGTGGCGAGTCGTATAATTCGGATCAAACAAATCTGTAAGAGATTGTGTAAAAGATTTCTAATAAAAGAGATAAGAGTCTTTTGGAATTACTGTGTGCACTATATTTCTTGCTGTATCTCGATTCTACATGTACAATTCAAAAAAAAAAAAGGGTTTACAATTCAATAACCTGTTACTTCAGTTTTTTCTTATTTTTAAAGAAAATTTGTACTCAAACTAGTCTAATTTAAAATTAAATTTTGAACAAAAAAAAACGAATTGAACTAATCGAATTTAAACCAAATTAACTAAATTTTAAACCAAACTAATCAAATAACCGAACTAACCAAATTTAACTAAAATAAACCAAATTTATCTAAAAATTTAAGAAATTTATACTAAACCTAAGATAATAGAATTTTCAAAAACTATTGAACTGAACCAAATTTTATTTTAGGTTAGTTTGATAAGATTTATGTTGAATCAAACTAGCCTAAAACCAAACTATCCAACCTGAAGAACCAAACTAACCAAACCAGCATGCTTACTTGCACTTGCGATGGATTCTTAAATCTCACAAGGCTTTTCTGAACCTCACATCAACGATAAGAGACAATATATATTCTAATCTCTTACAAAAGATTCTGAGTCACACTCTCTCCTCTGTCTCATCATCTCTCCTGATCCTCTTACTCCAACTCCAACATGTCTTCAGCCGCCACAAGTCCAACTCTTTCACTCCTCAAGTCAACCACCGCCGTCACTCCATCCTCCGCCACTCGAGCACGCGCCACCCTTTTACCCATCACCTCCAAATCCATCTCCACTCGTCCTCTCGGCTTCTCCGCCGTCTTAAACTCCCGTTTCACCGTCCATGTCGCCTCAAAAATCCACTCTTTCCGCGGGAAAGGGACCAGAGGAGTCGTCTCCATGGCGAAGAAGAGCGTTGGTGACTTGACATCTGCTGATTTGAAAGGGAAGAAGGTTTTCGTTAGAGCTGATCTCAATGTACCTCTTGATGACAATCAGACAATCACTGATGATACGAGAATCCGTGCAGCTATTCCGACAATCAAGTATTTGATTGATAATGGTGCTAAAGTCATCCTTTCTACTCATCTGGTACATTTTTAAACTCCTCCATTGCCTGAACTATAAAGCTAGACACTTTGTTTTTTATAATAGGACGGTCCAAAACCGTAATTCCAAACCCGAAACCACAACATACAACATGTATTATTAGTTTCGTCCCAACTAAGACCAAAGACTTTGAGCCTTGTAGAATGTATGAGTTTTGAATAAAAGGAGATTCCGGGTCGAATCCTCTTAGACCCAAAACCACAATACTCCCTCTATATATGATATTATGATATTTTAGGAGGTCTATGTTGTTTCAAAATATAAGATGTTTTATGTTGTTTCAAAATATAAGATGTTTTGAAGTTTTAAGAAGTTTTAAGGTAAATTTTAATTTTATTAGAAACTGTTCAAAAAATAAAATTTTATAGTTTTTGATAATTGATTGAATGATTATAAAATTATATCTTTAAAAATGATTTTTAGAATAACGTAAATTTCTTAATCTTTGTGCATTGAGCCAAAACATCTATATTATGAAACGGAGGAAGTATTAGTTTCGTCTCAACTAAGACTAAAGACTTTGCGCCTTGTAGAATGTAAAGCTATACACTTTCATGTGTGTTTAAACTTGTATTCAATCTTTTTACAGGGAAGGCCAAAGGGAGTAACACCAAAGTTCAGTTTAGCTCCTCTTGTCCCTAGGCTGTCTGAGCTTCTTGGTATTGAGGTAAAGTCATCATCTTTGTGGAAAGTCTATTGCTTGAATAGCTCTTTAAAAGTGGATTTGTTTGTAGGTCAAGAAAGCTGATGACTGTATTGGTCCTGAAGTTGAAAGCTTGGTGGGTTCTCTTCCTGACGGTGGAGTTTTGCTTCTTGAGAACGTTAGGTTTTACAAGGAGGAAGAGAAGAACGATCCAGAGTTTGCTAAGAAGCTTGCTTCACTAGCTGATCTCTATGTCAATGATGCTTTTGGAACTGCTCACAGAGCTCATGCTTCCACTGAGGGAGTCACTAAGTTCTTGAAGCCTTCTGTTGCTGGTTTCCTTCTTCAAAAGGTTACATCTTGATAGAGATTCTGCTACATTGTATTCTTTTGTTTAACTCTCTGTATATTTTTCAGGAGCTTGATTACCTTGTGGGAGCTGTTTCAAGCCCAAAGAGACCATTTGCAGCTATCGTGGGTGGTTCCAAGGTCTCGTCCAAGATTGGAGTTATTGAGTCGCTTCTTGAGAAGTGTGATATCCTTCTTCTTGGTGGTGGAATGATCTTTACATTCTACAAGGCGCAAGGTCTTTCTGTTGGCTCGTCACTTGTTGAAGAAGACAAACTTGAACTGGCTACATCTCTCCTTGCTAAAGCTAAGGCCAAAGGTGTCTCTCTTTTGTTGCCAACCGATGTTGTGGTTGCTGACAAGTTCGCTCCTGATGCCAACAGCAAGGTCTATCTCTCTCTCATCTCGCCATTGCTTTTAAAAATGTCTTTCTAAATTATTGGTTAATGGTTGTTAGATGAAACTGAATGGATTATAAGAATTTATATCTGCTGAGGTTGGTGTTTAAACTCTTTATGTAAACCATTTGCTAGCTATAGATGTGAGAAGTGGATGTTATAAGTAGTGCTCTTGCTTAAGCATTTGCACATATGATCCTAAACTAAAAATGAGAGAATCTGAGTTGTTAAAAATTTGGTAGAGTTTTGTTTCTAAGTGAAGTATGTAATGTGGATGTTTTGTAGGTTGTGTCTGCATCAGGCATTGAGGACGGGTGGATGGGATTAGACATCGGTCCAGATTCGATAAAAACATTCAACGAAGCTCTAGACACAACACAGACAGTGATCTGGAATGGACCTATGGGAGTTTTTGAGATGGAGAAGTTTGCTGCTGGAACAGAGGTAAGTAAATAATCCCTCCTAGAACATGTGGTAGAAGAACATGTTGTTAGGTTAAGTTGGGGATAATGGTTTGTTTCAGGCGATTGCGAATAAACTAGCAGAGCTGAGTGAAAAAGGAGTGACAACTATAATAGGAGGAGGAGACTCAGTGGCTGCAGTGGAGAAAGTAGGAGTTGCAGGTGTCATGAGTCACATCTCCACTGGTGGTGGAGCCAGCTTGGAGCTCTTGGAAGGCAAAGTACTTCCCGGTGTGATCGCTCTTGATGAAGCTTAAAAAGAAACTCTTTAACATTTTGATGAGGCAAACTATGTATAAGTTATAACCATTGAGTTTCTCTGCTGCAGATTTATGTATTCAATACTTTTGACTTTATATTTCAATACTTCAAGTCAGGTCAGAAACGCACTAATAAAAGAAACTCATATTATTAAAATTGTTAAAAAGAACAACACAAAAGAAAGCTGAAGTAAGACACTAAAAGAGAAAGATCTTGCTCAACAAGTTTTTGTATCTTGATGTCTTTTGAATGTCATCAAACCTGCTAGTGATGGGTTGGAAGTAAGAAGATGAAGAAGAGTAGTAGTAATCACTTAGTGAACGCTCTTTCTCCTTGAATATCTCCAGCTCTTTTTTAAGCTCACTGTTGAGAAGATGCTCACAGTAAGTTTTATTGTCTTCAAAAGCAACATAGGTCTTGAAGAACATGTTCTTATCCCTCTCCTCTCCCAAATCCATCTCTTCCATCATGTTCCTCAGAATAAAAGCACCCTTCTTCCTAAAATGACCTTTCACAAAATCCTCAAACCCCATGAGAGGCCTCTTCAACATATCCAGCATCTGATGACATGACTTGTTGGTGTTCATCATCACAACTTCTTCAATGTGGAGAAACACATCTAATATGTTGTAACTGAGTTTGGGTTTCAATTGTGTTTCAAAGTTGCTCAAAGGGAGGCCATAAGGATGGTAAAAGAGACTCGGTGCTTGGAATGGATACTCTATAGGAAACTTAACGTCAAAGAAGAAGACGCTGTGACTCTGATCCGTTACAGCAACTCTCATCAGCTCTTTTCTTTCATTGTACGTTTTAACAAAGAAGCTGACTCCATTAGAACCATCTCTCTTCTCTAACTCTCTCTGCAGCTTTTCCCACTCTCTCTCAACGTTACTGCATGCACAGACACAACAACAAGAGGAGTAGCAACACCTGTAGTTGTTGAAGTGGTGATCACGTGGAGAAAATCCATCAACAGCTTCAAACTTGTTGAATCTCTTGAAGTTTAAATCCACTTTATCTCCCAACTCCATGATCTCCTTCTCAAAGATGTCAACTACAAAGTAGCTGTTCCGTCCAAAACGAACGATGTCACCAACTTTTTCCTCTTCTGGTTCCGGTTTAGACTCTGACACAACCTTTTGGGGTTCATCTTCTTTCTTTTCTCTAGTAGAAACTGACCTAACTTTCTCAGCACGGCTACTATATGGATACACAGAATTTGACCTAAATTGATCAACAGCTAGATCATGATCATCATCAGAGTCGCTGTTGATTGCATCAATAGCATTGGTCTCTTCGTCTGGTTCCGGTTTAGACTCTGATACAACCTTTTGGGGTTCATCTTCTTTCTTTTCTCTTGGAGAAACTGACCTAACTTTCTCATCACGTCTCCTATATGGATACACAGATTTTGACCTAAATTGATCAACACCTAGATCATGATCATCATCAGAGTCGCTGTTGATTGCATCAATACCATTCGTCTCTTCTTCTGGTTCCGGTTTAGACTCTGATACAACCTTTTGGGGTTCATCTTCTTTCTTTTCTCTAGTAGAAACTGACCTAACTTTCTTATCACGTCTCCTATTTGGATACACAGATTTTGACCCAGATATTGACCTAAATTGATCAACAGAGTTTGACCTAAGTTGATCAACAGATTTTGACCTTGCAAGTAATACTCTAGTTGCTAGATCATCATCAGAGTCGCTGTTGAATGCATCAATACCTTTCGTCTTAACTTTGTATAAACTTTCACCAGGACTCGTACTAGTAGTACTCATGATTTTTTTTTGCTTGTAAGTTATGTTCTTCCTCTGTCGTAGTTATAAAGTGGTTAGCAAATTAAATAACGAATCTAATTAAACCCTAGAATATAGCAAATTAAAACCACTAAGATATAGGATTTGTAAATATTTGTATCCTAACCGTTAAAAGGATAACTTCTATTTCTTTGACATGGATAACAACCTATCTATCTATCTATACTATTATTTGCGAAGTGATTTTTCACAACGGAGCTCTCACGTTAAAAGTTGGAGTGGTTAATATCGTTTATACCCTTAATGAATAAAATATATAAATCAGTTAAAAATAAAAACGAATTTAATACTTATTTGATTAAATAAATGATTTAAATTAATAATAATATTAAGAATTATCCATAATCTCAAAATATATTTAAAAATAAAATAAAAAGGATAATTCTTATATATATTGTGTTGTTATCCAGAAAATATATATTTGATAAAAAATTCAAAAACAGAAAACACATAAATAAATATTCATAAAGTAAATTTTTAATTATATTCAAAAGAGAAATTGAAAAAAGTAGAATACATAATTATTTTCAAATAAAAATAATATAATAATATAATATAATGATATATATTCGTGAAGTTATTTTTTATCAAACGCGTATATTTATCGATTCAATTTTTCAAATTGAAAGATAGATTTCTATATTTTTTTATCAATTATGAAGAAATGAAATAGACTTTAGATTTTTCAAAATTTTAAAGGAAAACATAGATTTGTTTTTAATTTGTGAGTAACTTTATCAATGTAAAAAAGTTTAATGTTTTAGGTCGAATTATTTGGATGCAAATAATCATTTATTTTGATAATTTTTTAAATTAACTTAAATATAATTAAGCCCGCATGTGTGGGCAAAACACCTAGTTAATTTTAAAAATCAGTGTAATCTCTGTTATAGGATATTTTACTATTTATAAAAAGAATTTGTAGGGAAATTAAACTAAGAAAATTTAAACCGTAACAATTAAAGGATACTTGTGGATTCTGGGGATGATTAGTACCAGCTGTGAGATCTGTAGACAGCACTATCTAAATTTACAGCACTCAATTTAAAGCAATCAACAATTTGTAGACAGCACTATTTAAATTTACAGCATTTAATTTAAAGCAACCAAGCTTTATCATTTGCTTTATGTTTACAACATTTTATAAATAATAAGAGCCTCTTTTTTATCATGTTATTATAATTGCTGTGGAGAGACAAATATATATAGTCCAAATCTAATAATTCTTAAAAATTAAAAATCTAAAACTAAATCAAAAAAAATTACAGCTATAATTCTAAAGCCAGACAATGAAATCGAAATCACAGCACTTCCCAATCATACTCTCTGTATTTTTTAACAATTGTGGATTCTGTACTTTTTATAAAGATACATGATATCTAAAAAATTCTTTTATAGTACTATAATTTCAAAAGAATAAATAATTTAGTAAGTAAAATCTGCAAAATTGTAATTAATATGACTAAAACAGGTAAATAAACCAAAAAGAATCTTGAAATTAGGCATGGGCATTCGGGGTCTCATTCGGATTTCGGTTTTGTCCAATCGAGTTTCGGTTCTTCGAGTTTATCAAAATCAGCCACATTCGGATTATTTGAAAATTTTGTTCGGGATCAGTTCGGGTTCTACCAGGTTCGGGTCGGGATTAGTAAATCTTTAAAGAATCGGTACAACCCGTCATACTTTCGGATTCGGGTCCCAATCAGTTCTTTGGTTTAAAAATACTTGATTTATACCTACTTTGTAACCAAAACATAAGTAAAATCGGTTCTTCGGATTTAAAGTACCTGATGTGTAACTATTTTGTAACCAAAACATAAATAAAATTGATTCAACAATAAGAAAGGAACATCGAACTTGATCATTCAAAATCAAATGAAAGATAAACATAGTTATTAATAGAAAGAAAACCAAATAAATGAAAGCATAAAACGAAAACCAAGTTCTAAAAAAATCAGAAACATTATTCAATAATAAAAAAAACCTTAATCTAAAAATTTCAAGTTTCAACCGACACATTCAACCATTCATGTAATAGATAATTATTTTAGATGTTTAGTAATATCTTAAAATATTTTAGATATATATTATGAATTAAAATCATGTTCGGTACACGTTTTTATTAAAAAATTGGAATGTTTCGGGTGCTATCGGATATCTATTTAATTTTGGATTCGGTTCGGATAATACCCCTAACTCGAAATACCATAAAACAAAATCCATTCGTTATTTAAATGGGTTTAGATCGGTTCGGATTCATTTTTATCGGATCGGGGTCGGGTTTTCGGATTCGGTTTATTTTCCCAGCCCTACTTGAAATTATAAAAAAAAATATCCGTGAAAACAAATAAAAATCTAAATTATTTTTATAGAAAGGCATGATAGTATTATGTTAAAAATACAATTTTTAATACATTTTTTTTTGTTGACATACATTATTTTTGTTTGTGGAGATCAATATGGCGAAGACTTACCAATATATTGTCAAGAGGACATAGGAATAACAATGTCGGAAGCATCTCTTGTTGCTTCTCCTTTACTCCACTGTAAGAACTCTCTGTTCTACTCAATTCTGCAGCTTTGCTATATGTAAAGCTTTGATCTTTCTCAAGTGAAAAAAAAAAACATGTTCATGTTTGATGTAGCCAATAGTGGGATCCACTCAGATTCTCTCTACGCCTCGCTCATCGATAGCTCCACTCATAAACCTCACCTTAGGCAAATTCACGCACGTTTATTCGTATTAGGTTTACAGTTCAGTGGTTTCTTGATCACCAAGCTCATCCACGCAAGCTCATCCTTTGGTGACATTTGCTTCGCACGCAAGGTGTTCGACGAATTGCCTCTCCCTCAGATATTCCCTTGGAATGCTATTATAACAGGCTATTCAAGAAACAATCTCTTCCAAGATGCGCTTCTCATGTATTCAAAGATGCAACTCGCTCGTGTCTCTCCTGATTCCTTCACTTTCCCTCATCTTCTCAAAGCTTGCAGCGGTTTGTCTTATCTTCAGATGGGTCGGCTTGTGCATGCTCAGGTGTTTAGGCTTGGATTCGAAGCTGATGGGTTTGTTCAGAACGGTCTCATTGCGTTGTACGCGAAATGCAGGCGTATGGGGAGTGCAAGAGCTGTGTTTGAAGGACTGCCAATGTCTGAGAGAACGGTGGTCTCATGGACGGCTATTGTTTCAGCTTGTGCTCAGAACGGTGAGCCTGTGGAGGCGTTAGAGATTTTCAGTCAGATGAGGAAGATGGATGTGAAGCCTGATTGGATAGCTTTGGTAAGCGTTCTCAATGCTTTCACGTGTTTGCAAGATTTGGAGCAAGGGAGAGCTGTTCATGGTTCGGTTGTGAAGATGGGTCTTGAAACAGAGCCTGATTTGCTCATCTCTCTCAACACCATGTATGCAAAATGTGGCCAAGTCGAAATTGCAAAGATTTTGTTTGGTAAGATGAAGTCACCAAACTTGATTTTGTGGAACGCAATGATCTCTGGATATGCGAAAAACGGTTATGCTAAAGACGCTATTGATACGTTTCATGAGATGATTAATAAAGGTGTGAAACCTGACACCATCTCTATAACATCTGCTATTTCCGCCTGTGCTCAAGTTGGTTCTCTTGAGCAGGCTCGCTGGATGGACGAATATGTAGCCAGGAGTGATTATAGGGATGACGTTTTTATCAGCAGCGCCCTTATCGATATGTTTGCTAAATGTGGAAGTGTAGAGTGCGCAAGATCAGTTTTCGACAGAACATTAGATAGAGATGTTGTGGTGTGGAGTGCTATGATTGTTGGGTATGGACTTCACGGACGAGCAAGAGAAGCAATCAGTCTATACCGTGCAATGGAGCGTGGTGGAGTGCAACCCAATGACGTCACTTTCCTGGGGCTTCTCATGGCTTGTAACCACTCAGGGTTGGTAAGAGAAGGCTGGTGGTTCTTTAACAGGATGACAGACCACAAGATTAACCCGCAGCAGCAACACTTTGCATGCGTCATTGATCTTCTTGGACGTGCTGGTCATCTTGATCAAGCTTATGAGGTGATCAAATGCATGCCGATTCAGCCAGGTGTAACGGTTTGGGGAGCGCTCTTAAGCGCTTGCAAGAAGCATAGGCACGTGAGTTTGGGAGAATACGCAGCTCAACAACTTTTCTTGATAGACCCAACCAACACAGGCCATTACGTGCAGCTCTCTAATCTGTATGCTGCAGCTCGTTTATGGGACCGCGTTGCAGAGGTGCGGGTGATAATGAAGGAGAAGGGACTGAGTAAAGACGTTGGATGCAGCTGGGTTGAAGTAAGGGGAAGGTTGGAGGCGTTTCGAGTTGGTGATAAGTCACATCCAAGATATGAAGAGATTGAGAGACAAGTAGAGTGGATTGAGAATAAACTGAAGGAAAGTGGATTTGTGGCGTACAAGGATGCTTCGTTGCACGATCTAAACGATGAAGAAGCTGAGGAGACTCTGTGCAGTCATAGCGAGAGGATAGCGATTGCATATGGACTTATATGTACACCCCAAGGGACTACACTGCGGATCACAAAGAATCTGAGAGCTTGTGTGAACTGTCACGCTGCTACAAAAGTTATCTCGAAGCTTGTAGGTAGAGAGATTGTTGTGAGAGACACCAATCGGTTCCACCATTTCAAGGATGGAGTTTGTTCGTGCGGTGATTATTGGTAATAGAAGATAGAAACTGGTTTAGTCTGAAATTTTGAACATCTTAGTTATTTGATCATCAAAATATGAAGACGAAGATTCGGACAAGAACACACAAGTCTATTAATAAATAATGAGCAAGGAAGCACTGTAAAAATAGAGCCGAGTACTTCTCCCAGTTGGCAAGTTACTTTTCAACAACGCCCTTGTCATACAGATACTCAACAAACTCATCGATGAGGTAAGGCCATGCTCCTTCTGCATCATAATTCGACAGCGCGGGGTCCACCGTCTGCAACAACAACAACAACTGTCTCAATCCATATATCAACACTAAGCTCTAGTTGCAATGGATATGTGAGCTCAATGACACAATTGAATCTAGTGTTTTTCTATTTTACCCTTGCAAACTCCAGAAGCTGTGCCCATGTGTCTTTAGATATGGCCTTGTTGTGACGATCCTGATTTTGGGAAACAACATTGTATGATTTGTATCAGAAGCTACAGAAATATAATAAGATCATGCCTTGGTGATTTAGTAAACTCATGAGTGTTTTGTTTACCTGCAAGAAATCACACCAGTGATTCACCAATGGCCACTCTCTTTCTGCAAAGAGCAACTGCCACATCCCAATGGCTGTATCTAAAGCAAGCGACTTCTGCCCCTGAAACATAGTACAATTGACTGGTTGTCACTAACACAGAGAGAACATTTCCTGACGGCAACTACTTCAGATCAAGCTTTGTTTACCTTCTCTTTTGCCCACCCAAAAGCAAAGTTGTAAATTTCATGGAACTTTTCTGAACAACATAAACGCACAAGAAGAATGTGTCAGCCAACATGAAACTTTCAATAAACGCAAATCATAAAACGGGACAACGAATGGTATGTTTCAGTTAGCTTCTTACGTTCATCCTTAAGCTCAGAACGCATAAATGACAGCTTTTCCTGCAACTTCCCAATGGAATCTACGCTGCCACCAGAAAATTGGGTCTACGTTAAACTCCGCACCAAACGGTCATAGAACAAGCCACAATGTTACGGAAATTAAACAGCATTAGGACTAGAGTTCACTCACCCTAATGCCTGTAATCCACCAAAAAATTCTTCCCTGGAGAATTCACACGCTGTAGCAGCATTCATATGCCACGAAAGCACCAACTGAAACAGAAGTACCCATTTCGCTAAATGGTCAGACGACGAACAAGAAAGGTAGAGCAACCAGTGAAATAAACAAATGAGATTTAAACCCTATTTTTAATATGTTCCTACAGGGATCTCAATTTTTGTCACTCTCAGCTTTTTCAACTCACTATTAACTAATACTACGTAAGCTTTTTGGTAGCCAGAGACCAAACCAAAAAACAAATGCACACAAGCAAGTTGTATGAAAATGCTTCAGAATAAGACATACCGTGACAATGTCTTGGGGTTCCACCTGGAGAAACAGTTCAAGACAGTTATTACCAAATTCTTGCTAAGTATAATAAACCTCATCATTCTTAGGATTATTCAGGAAAATAAAACATACCTGAAGATCACTACACAGAACCGAGATACCTTCGGCCAGAATCATATCAGAATATGGGTCTGCAGAATGTAACACAAATGAATATTAAAACATTGGCTTTGATGATCAACTCAAGAAAAAGAAAGAAGCTTTGCCTTTATATCTATTGTAAAGCTCCTCCAAGCGTCTCATATCACCATTGCTTCTTGGCTGAGGCTGGCTGTAAAACACATCAAAAGCTGCTTCAAGCTGCCAATCGGTGGCTTTGAGAGCCTGAAGAGCATTCTTCTCACTGCACACATCATCAAAAAAAGTCACTAAACCAAAAAGTTTCAACATTTATGTGACAAAACACGTCTCCTCTCAAGCAAGCTACAGTACTAATCACTGTTCCCAAACCTTACAAAAACAAAGCGAATCTACAGTAAACTAGCGATAAGGGTTAAGACAGATCCAGTTACCTAGCTCCAGTAATAGCCACGAACTGCTGAAGTTTGTCACGGTTGCTTCTACTCAACTTATGCTGCGACAGATTAATATGATTGAATCAAAATTGATAAACCAATAAATCACAAAAAAAAGTAAGAGACTTTAGAGTGTTGTCAATTCCACTTTGGGATTAAATTGTCAAAAAGACAAAACCTTTCGAGTTTCAAACACAAACATATAAGTGGATCCGACAAAAAGAGGAGAAAGCACGTACCATTGTGTTGGGGAAACAGAAACCCTAAAAAGGGTAATCGCCGCCGCGGAGAGAAGAGAGGGGAAGTGACTCAAAGAAGACTCGAGAGAGTCTCTTAACGATTTTGCTTAAGCTTCTCTCTCACTTTCCTCTTCTCCGCCTCTCTCTCTTCTCTTCTTCTTGATGAATTTCTATTTAACTCGGTTTACCAAATCGGTACACATAAGTAAAATATCTCGGTATTACAAAATAGACCGGAACTAGTTGTGTCTCAGTATTAATTTCTGTAACCGGTGCATTAATTATTTGTCTATGTTTTTGGTAGTAAATCAGCTGGTGTATTATATTATTGCTTTACAGATTTTAAAGTTCATTTTCTTCATCATCTAAATTTATGCTATATTATTTTAATTTATTTTAATATGAATAATTTTTTTTATAAAAATATGAAAGATTTTTTCAAGATTCACTATCGTAACCTAAGGAAACATACAACAATATTTATTTAAAATAGTAATGGATTTAATAATTTTTGTTATACTAATTACATATTATTCACTTTGTAATATTTTTTATTAAACTTTTATATCGAAAATAAAGGGATGTTATTTGATTCAAATTAATAGTATAAAGCATTACTCACACTAAATTATTGAACATCTTATTATATAAAGTTAAAATTTCTCCCTCATGGTGATGCCATATCACTAAATAGGATAAAGAAAAATTGACATATGGAATGCAAAATTATACTTACACAAAAAATTAATGTTTAATAGTAACAAAGGTTTACTTTATGTGAATGCATTTATCAATTTTTTTAAGAAGTATGTATCTTTTTATTTTGAGATAAAAAAATATATTAAAAATCATAGTATCCATGAATTCAAAAAAATGTATAAGCTGAAAATAATCCATAATTTATATTTTTATCTTATCAAGATTGACAAATGTTAGAATTTACCTTTATAATAAATAACAAAATATAAATAATGAAATTTAGTGTTATTCTTATTTTCAATAAATTAAGAAAAGTGAGATACTCACTAAATTTGAATTTTTATATATATATATATATATATTTATTTATGTGCGTGTATGACTAGATTTTTAATAGTACATTAGAAATTAATATGCATTAAATATACATGAAAAATAAGAATACATACTAAATCAAAAGGAGTAAACACATCAAACAAAAACAAAGATTCCTACAAAAATTGGCTGAAAATAATCCATAATTTATCTTTTTAGATATTTTGTTTTATCAACATTGACAAAATAATAGAAATTATGTATATAATAAAATAAAAATATAAATAGTGAAATTTAATGTTATTCTTATTTTCAGTAAATTAAGAAAAATCAGATACTCACTAAATTTGAATATATATCTTTTTATGTGTGTGTATCACTAGATTATTAATAGTAGCACATTAGAAATTAATATACATTAAAAATATACAAGAAAAAAATTTAGAATATGTACAAACTAAATCAAAAGGAATAAACATATCAAACAAATACAAAGATTCCCCACATAAATTATATTGTATGTTATTGTTAAAATGATATTGTATACACACTAAACTTATATCCATTACTTCTTCATCATCTAAATTTATGCCATGCTATTTTAATATTATATATCTATTTTTGAAAAAAAATTATGAACGAATATTTTCATATTCAAAACACTTATTTAAAAAGGTAATTAGATTTTACTTTTCTTGTTATACTACTACATTATTCATAATGTAAAAACTCTATATTGAATATGAATGGATGTTATTTGATCCTAATGAATAGTATACAACATTTCTTTCACTAACTTTTTGAACTTGTCATAAATATATAAACTGTAATTATATATAGTTTCAATAATAAACTAAAAGATCTAATAAAAAGAAAAGAACATAAAACCAGAATATCTTGTATATAGTAATTCAGATTTGCAGACGTATGTGGTAATAAAGATCCTCGTTCCTCATATCTTATAATATATTCTTTGTCAAAATAAAACCAGAATCTCTGATAAATAAAATATAAATACACTATTTCTTAATAGTTCATAAAATTCTGATATAGTAGAAAAGTTATATCTACCAAGTGGAGATTTCTAATCAAACAAAAAGGTGAAGGGATTTACATTTGTAAAATGTAGCTTAAACCTAGTAATAATTTCTAAAAGTACACACATTTCGTATATTACGTACAAACAATATTGAACAATATAAAAAAAAAATATTGAACAATATATTCGGGATAAAACAATGGACAAATATGCACATGTTGATTGTATGAGAAGGATTTATCCATACAGGTTTGATGGATCATAAAATATCCCATGTGGTTATTGATGGATCATTCAATTGATGGTTATTTTAGGCCTCATGGGTCTCACCGAGTCACAGTAATTAATGACAGTGCTTCATGCGAAACTTCAAGCTTTGGGTTGAACAATGAAATGTCAAGGTGGTTTGCCTGCGACAGTGTTAAATTGTTAAATCAACGGTCTAATTTGAGAAGCTCAAGGTGCATGGTTCGCCAACAATACATGAATGAGGTTTCTTTTTAACGTTTTTTTTTAAATTATGTTACAACAAATTATGAAAAATATAAATATTTCACAATTGACAACTCTATCCAAGATTATAAAATAGTTCATGGTGGTAATTTTATGTAATGTACCACCACGTACCACAATATTTTATGACAATTATGTTGAAGAATTTATGTAATTTTTTCTACGAATGTAAAGATTCTCTTAACTATGAAAACTAGTTATATTGTGTCTACATCCCCAGATGGTTTGCAGCTAATGCAAAAACACTCTTCAATTATTGCCAACGTTAATTAGGTTCAGGTAAACATCCCACTCAGTTAAATGGTGATAGTGAAATCTGAATTCTAAACACGTGGCTTCATTGGCCCAACATTACCCACCAATCCCACCTTGTGCGGACGATGAGACCATCGCCAAATCTTGAAGCCAAAAAGTATATGGAAAAAACAAAATAAAATCACTCTTCTCACCGCTCACAGACTACAATGACGACATTCTGTCTTCACATTTACTTTCTGGTTTAAAAAGTTAAATCTCTACTTTTGTTTTGCTTTTTGATAAAGTAGTGAAGAGATGTAGCTATAAGTCACCATGATCATGACTATTGACTAGCAATTACAAGGGTTATAAATCATTCACAACGTATCTCCTTTTTAAGACGTAAAAGAAAACAGTATGCTATAGTTATCTAAGACCAATCAAACTCCAAACTCAACTTGTGTCTTGTGACATGTATCTTTGAATTGTCTTGTATCTCAAAATCGTATAAACAGATAATGATTATAAGATATCGAAAGGGCGTCTTATATCAACCATCCATAAACTACAACCTAAAGATGCTTAAGGAACTTCTTGTACTAACCAATGAAATTTCTTGTCCCATAAATAACAAAAGCTTAAAATACCAAAAGAGCAATACTTTTTTTTTTTGTTCGTTCCATTTTTATGATTAGTCTTTGTTAATGACTTAAAAAAGTTACAACAATTATCAGAGTAATAAGATGCGTGACAACGAAGTTAGTATGTATAGTGGTCAACTCTACGTAAGTTAATATATTCTGCTATTATCATTTACAGACCACTCACTCGTAAAGTTGAAGGTTCTCTCTCGCTTTCTCATTATAAAAAGCTTCCCTTACTTCCCCATAACTCTTCACACTTTACTTTCTTACAAGACAAGAACCAGAAAATATCTAAACTAAACTCATGTCTGAATACAGTTTCTGTTTTTCCACAAACATGTTGAGAGTTTATGTATTATTGATAATATGTATGCATGTTTGTTGTGCTTCTAGTGATTGCACAAGTCACGAAGACCATGACGTTGTGTCACAAGAAGAAGCAGAGAAGGCAACAACGCTGAAGCTCGGTTCCATAGCTTTGCTTCTTGTCGCTGGAGGTCTCGGCGTGAGTTTACCGTTGATAGGGAAGAAGATTCCGGCGTTACAGCCGGAGAACGATATCTTCTTCATGGTGAAAGCCTTCGCTGCAGGGGTGATACTATGTACTGGTTTTGTCCATATATTACCAGACGCGTTCGAGAGACTTAGCTCGCCTTGTCTGGAAGACACTGCAGCTGGTAAGTTCCCGTTTGCTGGTTTTGTCGCCATGTTGTCTGCGATGGGGACGCTTATGATTGATACGTTTGCAACGGCTTATTACAAGAGGCAACATAGTATGGGGACTAAGCAAGTGAACGTGGTTGAGGATGAAGAGCATGCGGGTCATGTTCATGTACACACGCATGCTAGTCATGGACATGCACATGGCTCGACGGAGTTGATCAGGAGAAGGATTGTGTCACAGGTTCTTGAGATTGGGATAGTTGTGCATTCGGTTATAATAGGGATATCTCTTGGAGCTTCACAGAGTATAGACACTATAAAGCCACTCATGGCTGCACTTTCTTTCCATCAGTTCTTTGAAGGTCTTGGCCTCGGTGGCTGCATTTCTCTCGTAAGAATTCAATCCACTTATCTTCAATTGGTTTTACTATGAAAACTTCTGACAATATTTTGATTATATAGGCGGAGTTACAGTCTAAATCCACCGTGATAATGGCGACATTCTTCTCAGTGACGGCGCCTGTGGGGATAGGGATAGGGATGGGGATGTCAAGTGGTATAGGCTACAGAAGAGAGAGCAAAGAGGCAGTAATGGTGGAAGGAATGTTGAACGCTGCATCAGCTGGGATTCTCATTTACATGTCACTCGTTGATCTTCTTGCTCCTGACTTTGTTAATCCAAGATTGCAATCTAATCTCTGGCTTCACTTAGCTGCCTTTCTCTCCCTCCTCCTCGGCGCTTCTTCCATGTCTCTCTTAGCCATTTGGGCGTGATACTTTGTATCCACAGTTATTAGCAAACAAACAAACAAGCACACAATGCTGCTTTTTTTTTCTCGAATTTGTAATGGTGTTTCTAATCTCGGAATCAATACTATTCTGTTTTGAACTTGCTTTTGATAGAGACAAAACATTAGTTAAAGGCAGAGAGAGGCTAGCTAAGTGCATGCTTTATTCGTAATATGGATGGAGGAAGAGAAAAAGAGAAAGGTAAATGAAAATGATAGGAAGCATCAATCATGGTGGGCATCTTTCAACTGTAACATCATTGTGCACTTACACATCTATAAATACAAACTATCACTCGCAGTTTTTGGCTAAAAATTACAATCATGGATAAAGAGATTTACATAAGCAGATCATAAAGAGAGTCTTTGTTTTACCGACCACCACCGGGAACTCTGTTCCAGGACAAGTAAGTAGGATCTCCAAGTCTCCTGCAAAAATCACCAACACCAAATCAAAATCTATCTACACTTTGCTGTTATAATATCCAAGGATAAGAATCATAGTATATATACCTTGGTTTCACAAGATACATGATAGTAAATACAAGTGCCAAGAAGAAACAGATTCCTCCAACTGTGAGGTAAGCAATGCCGAGGAAGTCATTCTTTCCACCAAGCCAACTAGTTGTCGACAAAACAAGCTTCTTCTTCCCATCGAAACTGTATGTGTTGTAGTTGTTTTCCAGATTCACGTGTATATGATCACCTTTCTCCAGGTCAATCTCTATCTTCCCGTATAGTTTTCTAAATGTTGGCAAAGCTGCAGTTCTCATCCACACAATCAGATCCTCTTGCTCACTCAGCTGAAAACACCATAAGAGACAGCGAGAAAGAGATTCAAAGTCAAATATTCTGCAACCCAAAGTTTGAGACTCTACCAAAGCATTAAAGGCTTACCGATTTATTTGGATCTAACTTGCCACCACCCGTGATATTACCCTCCTGAAAGTTCTTGGGAAATACATTTTTGCCAAACTTGTGTTCCCTGTCACTCTTCCACGAAATTCCTCTCTTGTTTACATTTAAAGTCTGGTTGTTCTTTGACAAAGCGTATGTGTCATTAAAGAGACTCCAAGCAATTAGACCACACGGCACAATCGGCCGCCCATGAACATCATCCTCAGGCTTGCATGCATCTATTTGATTCTCATCTTTCACACTTCTCAACTGCGCATCACTTCTGCTTTTCACATACCTGTAATATCCAAAACATCAATTTAAGGAATCTATCTAATTTTCAAATCGCATATATTTCTTTGCACACATCTACTTTGTGAAATTAATGAAGCAATTCAACTAAATGTCAAGCTCTGTAGTAACAACCATACAATACCTGCGGTGATTCTGGTAAAAGTTCTCAAGCTGGTAATAAACGTAGATAGGCTGCTTCATCTTCTTAGGAACCTGAAAAACACCCACAAGAAGAAAGTAAACAAAAGACATTACTCAGAGGCCACTCATTCTCTCAAAGAATGAAACAGTGTTGCTTTCTTGTTGCATAGGAAGCTCACCACTAGTGTCCGGGTACAAGACTTGGTTTCACCTCCTTGAATATAAGCAACCTTGTTAGCCCTAGAAGGCGGGGGTATACAAACATTATCATACCGATCAACAATCTCCACAACCTATTACATAATACCAATGAAACATACGTGTGAAAACAAGGAAACATTAGGTTATACGAAACATTAGGTTATAATGATTAAAAATCAAGATCCATCATTCTCACTTACATCCTGTGAAGCGAAAAGAGAAACAACTCCGAGTGGGATGAAGATAACACTAATGACTAAAAACGTCAGAATCACCTGCAAAAAAATTAAATAATTAAAAAAAAAGGAAACTTTACCCAACCAAAGATGGTAATAACTACAAAGAATCTATTTACCCAACCAGGCGTGAGAATTGGCTTGCAAGCAGGAAGCTCTTGCTGTGTAAACTTCGAATCTAAAAAATTAAACATCAACGAACAGAGAATCCAATTAGGTCAGAGATTGAGTCAATTCCAAAAAAAAATAGCTAAAGATTCTAACTTTGAATAATGAATTAAACTATAATTAAGAGTCAACGAGGATTCAAAGGAAGAGAGAGTACACTTGGGTCGCTTTGAGTTTTTGCGGGGAGCGGAAGGATCTGAAGATCCGGGAGGGGCGGAGCTAGACGACGCCGTGTTGGAAGGCATAGCTGAGGGAAAAGTTGAGAGATTTTTGTGTGTGGGAAGAAGGAGATTAGGAAGATGAAGGAAGGTTTTGGTCGTCGTCGTCGTCAAAGGAGACGGCTTTAGAGAGTATATTAGCTACGATCTAGAAGCAAAGAAAACCCCCAAATCGAAGTTTCGTAGATCCTCCCATGGTTTTGATTTGGTCAAGTCTCTTCTTTTTTTTGTTTGTTTGTTTGTTAACTTTGCTGCTTTTTTAAATTTAAGTGAGTTTATATAATCGTCCCCTTTCTTTGTTTTGTTCACAAATTAACCTCCTAAGTTTTATCTGGGACTTATTTGTCAAAGAATCAAAAAGGGTAGATTAGATTTGTAGAGAGAAGTTGAGAGAAATAAGAAAGAGAATGTAAGAGAAAATGGGTGATTTTGGGTAGTTAGTGAATTAGTGGCATTTTATATATTTGGCCTAATTTTCCTTTTATCTACTACATGCCATGATCAATTATTTGATTGTGTTCAACCATGAATTAGAAAAAGAACAGGAAATTTTTTCTGATATATTGATAAGTTTATTTGATGATTGATGATGAGTATAATATGCAAGAGAAAGTAGAGTGGGTAGGAAAAATGACAAATCTGTGAATTGCAATTGTCATGCTAGGAAGAAGTTAGGAACACAAAAGGACAAAGAAGATAAAGGGGGCCTAACTCAATTGGGCCTTACGTTTATTGAAATGGGCTTGGATACTTTATAAATGGGCCTAAGCACCTTTCTTTTTGGGTCCAATTTTTGTAATGCTGCTCAATGAAGAGAAGTCTACATTTTTGCTGTGTTTAGTCAGTCATTAGTAGTGTGTGTGATATGAAAGGGAATAGATTCATCTATATGCAGACAACAAGATTCTATCAATTAAAGGAGACAAGAGGCCGCTTGAAAACTAAGCAAACAAAATAAATACTTTCTTCTTGTTGATTTTATTGATTTTTTTTTCTAATGTGCATGATTCTTATTTGCATACATAATTGCTGAGATAAAAGTTAAACATCAGCTTTATTCCACTTGTCATCTTTATTCAAAGCACACCGCACACGAATCCTTTCATCGAGATGAAAACAATTTTTAAAACAAACAAGATGCTTATGCTACTTATTCCCACACGCATGTGCATTGCATATTATCTAAATGTAAGCTAACTTTTGAAAAGCGATTTCTTCTCGAATGAATGTATAGTGACTTGGACATCAAAAATGTATAGACGTAGGCATGCAAATTTGGATTTGATGGTATTAAGAAAATTCTTATTGTATGAATGTATAAGGCCACATGCGTCAATAAATCAACAATCGAAGGACTTGGACATGCAGATCTGTATTTAACGGTAATTAGACGTGTGAATGTAAAATCGCCTGCATCGTTTACTATTTGCATATATAATCTATAGATGTGCCTCCATGCTTTTAACTATTAATATAGAAACAATCATGTGTCAACATCAGTCCATAATCTAACTTTATAGTTTGTAAGACGTCGTGTGTTTCCTTTCTTTTTTTTCACATCTTTTATAATACTAATATTCGCTTGTGTTAAAGTTGAATATTGCATCACCTATCAACATTTGGTAGTTTAATCATATGATGCAGTCGAGAGAGGAGAGGAGGGCTGAGTCACCATCAGGTCTCGTGCTCACCACCGACCCTAAGCCTCGCCTTCGCTGGACAGCAGAGCTTCATGGACGTTTCGTTGACGCCGTCACTCACCTTGGAGGCCCTGATAGTACGTTCATCATCATCATTTCTTATATTCATTCATCAATTTTTGTGGTCATGTAGCATGTTGTTGGTGATTACACTAACATTACCTATAATTGTGATATTATATCAATAGAGGCTACACCAAAGACGATTATGAGAGTGATGGCTGTGAAGGGTCTTACACTTTACCATCTCAAGAGCCATCTCCAGGTCTTTCTCTTGCTACATAAATCATTCTTCTTCAGCTTCCTCTGCTTTACATGTTTACTGTTCTTGAATTCCTTCTTAATTAATTAGTTTTGTCATAGTTATAGAATTAAAACATATAGCATACCGGTTAATTACAATAATTTTATATGTATATGCGTTCACAGAAGTTCAGACTTGGAAAGCAGCCTCACAAGGAGCATAGTCAGTCCATTCATATTAGGGATACTAATAGAGGTGCGCATAATTCATTAGTTTTCTTAATTCATTATATTTCCAATGTGAGACATCATTCATTAACACTAATTAATCAAAATTTACTGGGTGCTGCACGTGAATGACTTATCTAGTTGTTAATCAACATCGATCGATTACGCATGCAGCTTCCATGCTGGATCTTCAAAGTAAAGTGGTATTCACTACTCCACACATCATTGGTCACAATATGAACGAGTATGTGCTTTCCAGTTTCAATCTTAACAACTGATTCGAATATGCATAACATATAATTATTATGGATAATGAAGGATGCAAATGGAAGTGAAAAGAAGAATAGAGGAAGAGGTGGAAGTAGAAAGACAAGTGAATCAAGGATAGAAGCACAAGGGAAATACATGGAGAGCATGTTGGAGAAAGCATGTGAAACCCAAGAAGCAAGTCTCACCAAAGACTACTCTACTCTCTTTTTCAACAACACTACACCCTTACCAGTTTCATGGTTTGAGGATCATTTTCCCTCGTCTTCCTCCATGGACTCTACACTTAATCTTTCTGACATCAATCCCAGTTTCTCCCTCCAAGATTCTCGGAGTTCCATCACCAAGAACCGTACGATTTGTCTCGGTTAGAGAATAAACATATAGTTCTAGCTATTTGAGTCTTCCTAGCTACTCTAGTATTCTAATGCGCACTTGGTGTATAAATGCACTATCTCACATGTAAAAACTTCTGCCAAACAATGAAGTAGGTCTTCGTTATCCACTCTAATAAATGTGATGATGTGCAATAGATGGTGAAGTAGGCTGCCCTCATGAATTTCTCAATATTTGTGGGTTCCTTTCACATTGAAATTTTCAAGATTTTGTCTTTGTCACTTTTGTAGTCATAAAATCACCAGATTCACCACCCCACACCACTTTAGTTTTTCATCACTCAATCTTATATCCATCCCCTCACATTCTGATGAAATGTGGGCCAAAAGACTAAAAACCAATTTACTGAATTTGAAGTGATAACCTTAGATGGGCCAACAAGGGTTAATATATTTGAGGATATTGAGACAAACAAGAGTCTGGTCAAGGCAAGGTTGTTTATGTCGTAGTCTCAACTCTCAAAGTCTGTCGGTTGACGAGTCAATGGAAGTCTCGTGGATCTGAAACGGTCAAAAAGGATGTTTGATTATACTTATGCAAGGAGGGAGACTAAATAACATAACTTAAAGATAAGATTGAAGGATGGAGTAAATGTGTTATTTGTTTGCTCTCACACTTCACCAGCTTTCAATTCTCTGTTATTATTCGTTGTTTCTTTTCTTTTGCAAAACATAAAGTGAACGTAATTGTATAGTTAGGTCCTAGGTTGCATGGAAACTCCGTTCAAGGTCCGTTTCCTGTTTCGGAAACGTTTCGGAATCGGAATCTCTTGGAAACTCGAGGAAACTCTTTGGAAACACGTTTCTTAAAAATTTCATTTTGGAAACACGATGGAAACTTGTGTTTCTGATTTGGAAACTCGTGTTTCTAATTTGGAAACTCGCGATTTTAATTAGAAACACAAAAATAACTATTTGACATTTGATGTTAATGATTACATGTTTATTATTTTATATTTTAATATTATCTTTTGATATTTGTTATCTTTTTAGTATAATGATTTGATTTGGAATGAAGTCGCTCTATACGTTTATCGAATGATAACATGTGTTACTTTTCTAGTTCTTGATTATAATTTTAATAAAATGTACAAAAAAAATACTTATATTACTTAATATTTTCTCTTAGATAAATCAAACAAAAAAAAGCTTACATGTTGATTAATCATATATATATATTATAGACGTTTCTAAAACGTTTCCATTTCTAATTTTTTTGAAAATCATGTTTCCACGTTTCGAAACGTTTCGTTTCCACGTATCCGTTTCCGATTCCATGCAACCTAGGTTAGGTCTCGTTTTATCTTTCAGATTCTAAACATTTGAAAATAGTTAAATAAGGAAAAACGGTAAACCAAGAAAGACAAATTAACGCCACGACCAGTCGGTATAGACAGAGATCTTCTTAGTTACTACTCATGCAATCAAATGACGTACGTGTCTTGGAGAAAACAGACTCATGAATCATGATTACACATGAATTGTGTTACATGTAATTCTGACTTTATCTTGTCAAATTGATACCATAATTGCCCAACAATGCCTCTACTTTCTTTAGTTTATATTTTATAGAAAAGTAAAAGATTACCAAGTGGTCTATTCCATCAGTTTACCCATGGTTGGGGTTTATCAATAAAGAAATATAATTAATTAAAAGAAAGAAAGGCTGCTAGATAAAATATATACTACGTTATAGTATAATGGAAAACCAAAACATATGTTGTAGTTAAATATCTGTAGCTTCACTAATACGGAGATTTTACATGATATGGTAATTAACAGCGACTGATTGATATCATGATGTTAATTAACCACTTTTTGCCACCCATATATTAATTAGTTTATTATTACATATAACTTGACGGATTCAAACAAACAATTGCGTTGTACGTGACTTACTTGAGCAGAGATGTAATTTGGAAGCTCCAAGAATTGTTCCAATTCCTCTCATGCTCCAATTTTCTAGTAGTTGCGATTAGGTCGGAAAATATTGCAATCGTGCTCCTTACTTTACCTCCAAAGTTAACTAATATGTAAGTAAATGAATCGGATTTACTGATAGATAATACTCATTACTAGTCATCATTCCAATATTCAAACTACAAAAAAAAATAATGCATTTTGAAAAAAACTTCACACATGATTAGTTGATAAAGATCATGTGAGAGCCGCCTATGATCTTTTTGTTCATGTCAGTTTAGGTCAAAATTTAAACACGGGTTCCAAATTTTTATCACCGAAAAAAAAGTTTGATCTGTTGGCGGTGGAAGATCGAGTTCTAGTAGCTTTTTAAATGAAAAGGAAGAAAGCAAATTAATAATATATTAAAGTGCATGTTTGATTGTTTGTAGAGTTAATGATACTGTGCTACACTTTTAAAATATTTATTTGGTTTTACTAGTCTACTGCATTTTACGACATCATACAACGAATTGAAGGGGTAACCTAAAGTGTAATAAGTGACTATTTTGGATTCTTCACGTTTATGCATATTGGTTTTTAGTTTACAAAGGTGCGTGATCATGTGTACAACTAATCTAAAACTCCGTGGGTCAATCCATATAAGTAGCGTTATCATCGGATGATAATATATCTACTATTCTTCTTACCAATGAGTCAATGACCCCATGTATTTTAAAGGCTAGTAATTAATCAACACTTAAACTCTCTATAGTTTAGAAAGTTAGCGTCTTATAAAGAACATATAGTATTAAACCATTCCATTAAACTACACTGATAATTACAGGAACCATGCATGCAATGTATGACAATCATTAATCAGAATACAAGTTAAATAGATACATGAATATGATTTTTATTCTTGTCAAGGAAAGTGACGTGAACTGCTAATGTCTCTAAACAAGCTTCCATCTGAAGACACGCAGAGGAAAAAGAGAAACAACACAAGTTTAGTTAATCATATTAGATTAATTATCCGAAAACGAAATTAAACTGCTGAAGAAAAATTAATTAAATAGTGACCCTGGTGGTTTATTAACACCAAGAGTCTTAGCTTGTATGTTGTATATATAAATTAGGAAGATGAGAGAAACATGGGAAATGAAAAGAGATGAAATGGGACATAGATGTTGTGGGAAGCACAAAGTGAAGAGAGGGCTTTGGTCTCCAGAGGAAGACGCCAAGCTTCTTCGTTATATCACCACTCATGGTCATCCTAGTTGGAGTTCTGTTCCCAAGCTTGCTGGTTTTACATCTCTCTCTAACTCTTTGACTAAAAATATTCATAGGAAATCATGAGTTTTCAACTTAAAATCAATTGATCGATACATATTTATATATTAATGTTGGTCCATTTACACTTTTGGTGTATGATTTATATATAGTATGTTTGTGTATATAGGGTTACAAAGATGTGGGAAGAGTTGCAGATTAAGGTGGATAAACTACTTGAGGCCTGATCTTAAGAGAGGTTCCTTTACTGCGGAGGAAGAGCAGACTATCATCGATGTTCATCGTATTCTTGGTAACAAATGGGCTCAGATTGCTAAGCACTTACCAGGACGCACTGATAATGAAGTAAAGAATTTTTGGAACTCATGCATTAAGAAGAAGCTTCTTTCTCAAGGTTTAGATCCTTCCACTCATAACCTTATGCCTTCACACAAAAGATCTGCTTCTTCTTCTAGTAATAATCTTCCAAAGCCAAGCAAGACTAAGTCCATCATGACAAACCCTACTTTTGACCAATCAACCACAGCTTTCTCAATCACAAACGTCAATCCTTACACTTCCAATAAACCAAACAGATCAGTTAAATCTCCTAACCAGAGTTCAATCCCTTCCCAAACCGTGATCCCTATCGACCATACCATGTCAAGTCTTTTAGATGATGAAAATATTGTTCCTAACTGGTCAAATGTTGATGGAATGGCACCAATCCACGAGGAAGCTCCGATGTTTTCAAGTGAAAAGGCTGTAATTGGAGTTGAAGATGATGATATCAACATGGACATGTTGTTTAATACACCCTCTTCTACATTTGATCCTGATCTTGCTTCTATTTTTTCTTCTGCAATGTCTATGGATTTTAATCCCATGGATGATCTTGGCTGGACCTTTTAGTTTTACTCTACAATAGTTTCAGTTTTCTCAAATGTATAAAATTTGTATGAATAAGTTCCACTTTCTGTTGTCACTGACTCACTAGTTTTGAAAGCTGAGATTTTACCAAAAGTAGTTTGTCATTTTCTCACTATTTTTTTTTCGTTTTCTTGTGAAATGCTTGTTATAAGTCCATTGAAATTAAAAGCATATGTTATGTTATGTGCTATCTATAATATTATTTGAGAAGTTAATTTTCTGATTTGTCAAGTTCTCCATGATTTTAGGTATTTTTTTTATTTGTCATTTGTCATGTTTTTAATAATTTTATATATAATTTATTATATAATCATAACAAATTTATATTAAATAATATTATACTTATAGAAAATAAGATAAGTCTTATGTATTATGTTTTTATCTTAAATATATATTTTCTATTATAGAATTTTAAAATTTAGATATAAAAATTATAATTAAATAGGAATCAAGCAAAAACATTTATATAAATATATTTTCTAAAATATTTCTGATATGTGAATGTTATCATTTATAATTAATTTGATGTTTTATTTAAACTTTTGAAAAGCATAAATAATAACTTATTATATTGATTTTTGAATTAATAAAACACAAATTACTAAGTATTTATAAGAAAAAATATTTTCGCGGGTAAAACACCTATTTAACTATTAGGTTGGGGAATTCCTAAATAATAATCTCTATAATATTATTTGAGAAGTCAGTTTCCTATGTGTCGCTCTCACGTTCAATCTCACGATGGTTGATTACATTGATACCCTTAATGAATTTAAAATAGTTAAAAAAGTATTATTAATTATTTTATTTAGTTTCCTTTTCAAAAATTTCCAAAAATATACGTAATAAAAAAAGAATTTTTTTATAAAGTCATAAAAACAAATTGAAAAGGAAAAATATATTTATATATTATATGATTTCATAAAAAAAAAAGAAAAGTTCACAAAATAGTAATAATACATTTAAAATGTCATAAAACAAATTGAAAACGAAAAATATATGTATATATAATATGACTTCATAAAAAAAGGAAAGTTCACAAAATAGTAATAATACATTTAAAAATATTTTAAAATAACATAAAATATACTTTTAGAGTAATAAAAATATTTTATAATTAGTATTATTGAATTTTTTTATTTATTTTCATATATTTAGTTGACTAAAATATCTTTCAACTACATAAAATTATCTATAAATTATATTTTAATTATATAATATTATTTTCAAATACAATCATAATTTTATGGAGTGCTTATTTTTAAGAGATATTAAAAATAAAAAAAATAAATTTAACAATAAACATCGCTTGATCAAATAATTTTATCATTATTAAAATTATTTTTTTCTTAATATTAAATTTTATTTTGAATTTCAAAATTTTATGTTTGTGAAACTAAATATAACCATAATCAAAATACCAAAGCAAATATGAATTTCCAATTTTACGATTATTTAAAATAAATTTTAGTTTACATTCGATAAATCTAAATCATAAAGTTAGAATTTATAAATATTTTAATTATTGTAAATATTGATATGTGTTTATGAGGTTCCAAAAATATATCAACTACTTATGCATGTAGCCTTTTATTGATCATAGAATAACACAAAACATATTAATAAATGAAAATAAATATTAACCAACTCTTACAATTTTAGTTCTTTTGTAAAATTTATATATATGCATGAGACTTTAGAATATCATTTTTATATTAATTTACGTATTTTGGAATCACAGACACTTTAATTAATTTTTAATTCATTTTAAGCACAATATATCTTAAGTTATACATAATTTTACTAAAATATATGTACATATCTAAGACAACACCCACTATATGCAAATATGTAATTAATAAAAAATTAATATATTTTAAAATATTACAGATGAATTCAGAGATGCAATCCAATTTATTCAAATGATAACTAAATCAACCGTAAAAACAACAAAATCGACTAGACATAACATATATAAAATTAAAGTATAATTAAAGTAATATAATATTATTAATATAAATGATACATACAAATTATAAATCAATTGAAAATTAAACTAAATAGTAATCAATTATTATCATATATTTACTTTAAAAATATTTATACCCGTGCATGAGCACGGGAAATTCACCTAGTTAGGACTATATTTAAAAAATCCCCTTTGGGAACAGAGCGACGCCATAGGCGATTTTCTGAAAACCACCACCAAACTCGTTTCTTCATCGGAATTTTTCGTTGCCGGCGGCTTCGGCGTCGGAGTCTCTTTGTTTTCTTTATATTTAGTAGTAATAGTTAACAAAACCAATTGATGTTGGATTGGACATCAAGTCATTCGATTTGGGAATACCCAAATTGTGTGTTTTTCCCGTCTCACCATTCAAGATCATCATGTTCTCTTCTTCAGAAAGTCATTAGGATTTGGAAAAGAAGATCTAGTGATTTTCGTCGAACGGTTGGCGTGCGTCTTTTCTCCCCACGGGTGTGTCATTCTCCGGTACTGGGATTCGTAGTCTTACAGAGTTACAGGACTGATGGCTTTCCCTTGCACATATTGCAAGTTTGTTTAATTTCTCAATCTCGATTCGTTCATACAATGAGTCAACATGAAAAGCCGCCCTGGCCTGGGGATTATATGAGATTGGCGTACAAACTAAAATTGGAGTTGAAGATATGGATTCAAGGTATGTCTCTTACGGATATGGCTGGGATAAGAAGATTTGACAATAATGATTTTGTGAGGATGATAGTGTTAGTTTGTGGTGGGCCCATCTGGCAACAAGGATCAATACAAAATCGTGGTAAATATTTATTTTTCAGTCTCTTATTACTTGAAGACATAGTTTCACCAAAAAATGAAAACCGAGGGGAGTCTGGTAATGGCCAAGATGAAGGAAATATTATTCTGAAACGACGTCCAATGGTTATATTACAACACCAACACAATGTGGAGTATTTTAGTTATTGTGTTTATCGGTTTCAAATAGGGAGAAAACCTAGACCATGGAGAGTTAAGATAATAGCAACATATGTTATCTCCTGCAGCGGGAGTGTATGGGACGGATTGCGATGTAACGGATGGATCGCATCCAATGATCTTCTAAAAGAAAAAAGGCTTTTGATCACAATGCATGATGGCCAAGTTCAAGATCATCTAAGACCGAGAATGAAGATGGATAAAGTTAGCGTATCAGCCTATTCTACGGATGAGTTAGATAGCAACGTGTTATTACTTGTCCAATTTCAAAATCTTCTTAAAAGTGTGTTGTTTATTTCTTATGTTTCATGTAAACATTTGAACCCAATTTGATATCAATAAAATAGTTTGTCGTTAAAAAAAAAAAAAAAAAACTATTAGGTTGGGCTGTTAATTACAGTTTCATCTATTTACATAAAGGCCCATATAACACTAGCCGAATAAATGGGCTCTAAGTTATAATATATGGCTAGAGGGAAAGAGACGTCTCAGATCCATACCAATAATATATCGCATTCGTTATGATTGATAAGACAATGACGATATATGTTCGATGGATTCAAATTGATTCAATTATACGTATCCTCCAATGATATTAATCATGCGGAAATAATTAAGCTAAGTTTTGATGAAATTTCGTGCGAAGCACGAAGGGAAAGAGGCAACGTACCACATCGTCACATGCTGAAACCGTTACCACATTGTTCTGATTAGTTTGTGGGCGTATACTTGTACATGCATGAACTAGTACAAGCGTTGAGAAAGTCAATTGTGTTAGTCTAAAGAAAGATTCACAAAATGGCAATCAACGTATAAAGTTATTCATAATAATATTTGATTGGAAATGAACATAACGAAGGAAGCAAACGTTATACAATTTTAAAAGGATTAGGAGAAACGGGAAGACAACACCGAGGCACAGAAGATTGAAAAAATTAAGATATGTATTAGAGTATTAGGTATTGTCTAATATTATAAAACTGATAAAAATGGAGATATAGAGAAATTGGATATGTGAAACCACATGGTCTGTCTCTTAGTAACTTATCTTATCTTCTTCTTCGTAGACAATGATTACTTGTGTTTACGTCCTTTTGAAATTTATCCAAGTTTCCCTTCTTCTTTTTCATTTTTCTGTATCATTTTTAAACTGCAATATGCAAAACAATTTTACATGATCATATAGAACTGATCCGGTGTCAAACAATATGAAAAATAAAAATAAACGGTGACAAACAACTGAAAAACAAACTTTCTATTAAAGAGTTGTATCGTTTTTCTAACCTCATTAACACAATTTAAAATTCACAATTGAAAGTTGATAATCGAAAATTTATGGTTTTGACGCATGTGATACACAAAACATGAATAAAGGACAGATGCCGAAAATAATACAAGAAAGAATATTGAAGTACCAAAAGAAAAGTAAACACAAATAGTTAGGGGAAGACTTAAAGTTCACATGGGATGTGATTTGATGGCATCATTGCATAAAATTCTGCACATGCCTCTGCCTCTCTAACTCTTTTTAATATTCCTTTTCTTTTGTTGTTGCTTGTTGTTATTTGATAATTTAATATCCACACGGTTTTAGTTTTAGAATAATGTTACACTCTGTAAGAATGTAAATTACCCTTAGTTACAACCACTTTTCAACTCTCTATCATCTCCCTTGTAATATATATACGTAAGTACACAACCTCTTCTCTTCTCCATTTCATCATCATAATCAACTCAACCCTTCTCTCATCTTACTAAATATTACACCTTCTCTCTTCCCACATCTTATATAGAAAACATGAGCAGAACGGAGACAATGGGTTTGACCAAAAGAGGAATGTTGCAGTCAAGTAGTTGCAATCGTCTTATGGACCGTTCTGAGTCTCTCAAAAGGGACAGTGTGATGAGCAATGGTGGTTCAGCTAAAGTGAGAGGAAGCTTGGAGCGCAAGAAATCGAAGAGTTTTAAAGAAGTAGAAAGCTATCCTTCTTGGCTAATAACGGAGGCTCCTGGGAGTATAGCCGCCGTTAGGAGGGAGCAAGTGGCTGCACAACAAGCCCTAAGGAAACTGAAGATTGCTCATTACGGCAGATCTAAATCAACCCTAACTAATTTCACCTCTTCCAAAGTTGTCCCTCTTGTTCACCCTAGCCCTCATCCTCAGAGGTGCAGCTTCATCACCACTACTTCTGGTATATTAGATTTTCCTTCTTTTTTTTTTTTTTTTTTTGACAAGTCTATATTCAAACTTCTGATTTTAATTAATGTCATTTTCTCAGATCCTATTTACGTTGCCTACCATGATGAAGAATGGGGAGTCCCTGTCCATGATGACAAGTGAGTTACATAATCTCCTTTTTCTCTTGCCATTTTTAATACTATCACTTTCATTTTTCATAATTACCATCAAAATTCTATTAGTTGCGAAAAAAAATCAAATTTCTGTAGTTACAAAATACCACAAAATTTAGGTTATAGAGTGTTCTAAGATTTTGGAAAGTAGGATAACGTAAATTATTTGGTAACCTAGTAATTTTGAATCTATATATCCTTTATATACTTGTAACTAAAAATGACTAGAGCTTTCTTTTGCTTCTTATTTTTTTTATATCTTTCATTATGGCCAAAATTATAAACTAATCATTTTCCATTTCAGGATGTTATTCGAACTACTAACCCTCAGTGGCGCACAAGTAGGTTCTGATTGGACTTCAACCTTGAGAAAACGCCATGACTTCAGGAAGGCGTTTATGGAGTTTGAAGCGGAAGCGGTTGCAAAACTTAGCGAGAAAGAGATGAATGCAATAAGCATAGAATACAAGATAGAAATGAGCAAAGTGAGAGGCGTTGTGGAGAACGCTACAAAGATCCTAGAGATCAAGAAAAACTTCGGGTCACTAGAGAAGTACTTTTGGGGTTTTGTGAACCACAAGCCTATCTCAACGAACTACAAGTTTGGCCACAAGATTCCGGTCAAGACATCCAAGTCAGAGAGTATAAGCAAAGACATGGTCCGTAGAGGCTTCAGGTACGTGGGTCCCACTGTGGTTCACTCCTTCATGCAAGCCGCTGGGCTAACCAATGACCACTTGCTCACTTGTTACCGTCACATTCCTTGCACTCTCCTCAGTACTAATCCTTAAAAAAACTAATTTCTTATTTATTTACTTAATTGAAAGTGTGTTTTTTTCAACTTTCTGGTGATTTGTTTACAACAGCTGTAGGTGTAGGAGAGCTTGTGTGTTTTTAATTTGCCATGTAAAATTACCAGCTGGGTATAGCTGGTGTAATTTTTTTTTTTGTGTGAGGTTTTTATTATATCACATGTATAAGGGTTTTTGATGTATGTGTGGTGTGACGATATGAATTAGTAATTGATTTTTATTTGATTTAAGTTATCTTGTCTAATGTGCATGGGAGAGTTTAATATCCTCTTGGTTTTCAAAATATCATCTCTATCCAATATTGTTTTTTTGTCATCTGAAGATTATCATTGTACTGAAAACACCATACACTTGAGTTCAAAAGCCAAATGATACATCAATATCCAATCTTGTATACATGGTATTTATTTTTATTGATTTATAGTTTGTATTGAGACTTGAAAGAAGAGTACAATAACAAAAAAAAATGGTGATTGGTTTTCGTAGAAGCAAATAGAATGATGATGAAGCATGTGATGCTTCTCTGTCACCAATAATGATTGCATCATTTTAGTGGATGCCATGATGGGATTGGTCATCGCCCATTGGGTTGGGTCATTCTCCCCATCCCTAATATAACTTCTTTCCCAGTTCTACCCTTTCAATTATTTATCCAAGTTCCAACGACAAGGCTCCTCCTTCTGTTTATATGATCATGAATGTTATTTAAATATTCCTTATCGTATGTTTTTATGGAAGATGTGGTCTTGAAGTAAGGACGTGACTTTTGGTATAAAACAGAGTATTTTGTTCATGTTCCATAAGTGAGAGAATGGAAAGAAAAAAAAGATGAAATATGCTTTGAGAAGTGAGCACATGGGACTGAAACAACGAAGCATCAGATTCCTACTTTCCTCAACACCGTAACACAGAAGCAAAGCTTCTTGGCCAGAGAGTTAACTTAGTAAAAACCAAGCTAATGGGAGTTTATGGGCCTCTAACTATTCTTTTAACGGCCCATTAATAACGTATCATTTACAAGGCCCAGTAGTGATTATTTATTCTTCTCACTAACAATTTCAACATTGTCAAATATTCAAAGTAATAAATGGATTATCTAAAGGCACGTAGAAGGAGAAAAAGACAAGGTCGAGGCCACAAGATCAAACTCCCACAAATGATTCTGCTGCATTATATTCCCGATGACATTAGTCGCCGGAGTTCCGGCCGACACAAACCCTAAACACCTGACTCCCGGCTCAGCATCTATCAAGTAGCTTCTACGATAAGGCGCGAAACGAGTACCACCCTTGAAGTGAAACGACAACTGCGGCAGCTTTTTTTCGTCGAACTTGCTCGTATCATAACAATACTCTATCGGTAAACCTTCTGGTTTGACTCTTTTCACACCAACAAGGTGACGCTCTAGCCCTGACACAACAGCCTTGTACGCCACGTCAGCCAAGAACGTGAGGCTGCTCCCTGAGTCCAAGATGGTTCCACCACTTTTGTTCACGTCCCATACTTGGGGAGGGATGTTGAGCATGGTATCACCGATGGAGATTCCAACGATGTTGATTGCGTAGAAGGGAGGAAGGACATTGAGGTCAAGCTGGGCGGTTAGTCTGGCAGGGGACGTGGTGGTTGAGGAAGGGACAGAGCCGAAGATGAGATAGTTGGAGATGTTTTTGTTGGAAGTATGGTCAACGAGGCAGTATGAGAATTTGCCTCCGAAGATGTTAGTGGCTTTTGAAGTGAAGGAGTAATCGCTAAAGGCTAGGCCAAGGACACCATCGGCTTGACGGAAGCCACCACCATTTGAGTAGCTGCTGCAGCCAATGAGGAGGCCACGGATAGTAGCTACACTACCATTGGTGAGGCCGACTGTGAATGTCTCCTTAGCGAATACACCTTGTGCTACTGACCCGTCAGCGTATCTGTTAACACCAGATCCAAGTAAGAATGTAAATACTTGGATTGATTATTGACTCAAGAGGCAAACCTAACTCACAAGTTACAATAAATGACATTTATGTAGTGTAATGAATAGTGCACAAGACACATTTAATTTCACATCTTCTCATTACATACACTTGCATATAAATCTATGTCTCCTTTGCCCAAAGAAAAAAAAATCTCCCAAGCAGAATCTATAGGCAAGTGAAACATTGGTCTATTGATCTCCATTTTATTAGAAAAAAAAATACATAGACATAGATCCATAATTTAATATATATATTAAAAAATACTAAATCTCCTAACCCTCTCAAAGTCTTGAGGCCAACCTGCTCTTTCAAGTTCTCAGATAGTTATAGAAAACCAAAGTTCTAGAAATCGCTAGGAATAATTAGGTATTTAATAGAGGACTAGCGATTAGGCGGATTATTTGGAACCTAGGCAAAGCTTAGGTACATTAACAAATTATTGATATTATATAAAATATTTATGTTTTAGGATGTAAGTATAAATTTCTTGTGATGAATTATCGAAAATTGGGATACAAAAGAAAATAATTTAGATGGATTTGTGGATTTTTACTAATATTATTTTTCAATTTAACAGATTTAGACTAATTTAAATCAAGTTTAACCGATTTAGTACTGTTTAACCCGACATAAAGAACCCCGTTTCAGAAACCGAGTTGGCGCCTAGGTGGAGGTCTAAACGCCACTTATACGGGGTCTAGAGGCTGTCTATACCGATTTTTAGAACTTTGTAGAAAACAGAGACCATGATTTACACTTGTACCTGTAATCGTATGAGCATGGAGTTCTAGGGGTAGGGCAAATGGCGAGGGAGAATAATCTCGACAAATCATCGGTACAAGTCTTAGTCTTGCATCCAACTTTTCTGAAACTAGACGACTCCTCTGCTCTAAAGACTTCACGCGTCTCCTTTCCTTGCCCATGGAACCTACAATTCACCCATGTCAGCTCGCTCCCTGTGTCCACCACCACCCTGAACTTCTTCGCCGGCGTTCCAACCATAATCTCCGAGAAATACTGCGCCGCTCCGAAGTCGAAACCTGATCCCAGCGACATTTTCGCTCCACCTTTCTTTGATTTTATTTTCTGAGAAATGAGGCCGTGACGCTTTTGGTCCATGCCCATAATGTCTTCAATGCGATGGAAAGGTGTTGGCTTCGGTGAGAGTGTGTCACGGTGCGCCATGCCGATACGCATACCCGCCTGTTCGTCGGAATACGCGGAGGCTATTAGGAGCATCGTGATGAGACACAAGAGCATTGTCGTTGTCTTCATTTTTTCTCTCGTCCTCTTGTTCTGTTTTTTGTTTTGCTCCTTTTTTTGGGGCTGTCCGTTTCTAAAATTGAGTATTTATATTCATTGACTAATATGACTTTCTCTCTCTCTCTTCTTTTTTTAATCAATAAATCCACAAAAACCTTAATCGATTTTGTAGTTTTTAGATTTGTTTTAGTTTAGGAACTAAATAATTCTGATTAGATTTTAGTTTCTGAAATCATCATACTTATCAGGATTTTGGAAATGTGATTTTCCTACAAAATAGGGAGACTAGCTACAATAAAAATTAAAAACACACCATGATTATTATTTTTTTTTGGTATTAGTTTCATTGGTTATCTACTATTAGTATTTCTTAATTCCATTTGTTATTTTTTATAATTATTATTATTTTTTAAAATATACTAATTTCATTTCTTATCAACTGACTTATATTAGACACTAGGGTTGGCCCGCCCTACGGGCGGGAAGTTATAATAAAACTATTTTACAGAAATTCATATTATTTTAAGAAACATTTAAAGTTGTTATAGCTTGAAAACAATATTATAAACAAACAAATAATAAAAAGAATTTTAAAATCTATTGTTATTTTTAATAAATATTTTGGTTTCAATTAAAATGACAGTAACTTTCACTATTCTCTATTTTAAAGAATGCAAAATTAATAAAAAAAAGTTAATATATATATATATATATTCTTATGATTCTATTCTAATTTGACATGATAAAAAAATAATCTAAAGTTTATATAAACAATACTATATTTATATCAACCAATAATTATTCTAATACTATATTTATATAAAGTTTATAGATTTTTTTATTGTTTCAATTGGTTATCTTAATTATTATTTTATGTTTTTAATTATTATATATACATGCTATTTAATTTAGTTATATTTTACTTTCTTGTGCTTATATTATATATTTTTATAATCATAATAAGTATATCTAATTTATATATTCATTGTTTAGGTAAAATGAAATGATATCATTTATTCAAAAAACAATACAAATAATTTAAAAAAATTTGTATGTTATGATTCATTTCAAGAATGGTATTTTGATTACTTCTGATTGGAGTAGTATCACGTTTTAGTCTTTTTAGAAATTATTTTTTTTTATCAAATAATCATATTATTTCAACATGCTGAATTCAGGCTAAATTTAAATTTTCATTTCTTATAAAAAGTAGAATAATATTCTATGTAAAAAAAAATCAAAATAAAGCTAAACAAAATAAGATGTCCGGACTTTGCAGCTCTAATGTTAGTTGTTATGTCATCTCCCCATTGAAGCCCCAACATAACAACTTAAGTTTTATCTGCCACACTAAGCTCTACACATTATCTGAGAGACATAAATGGATCCATATAAGTTGTTCGTTGAACTGGATTATTGGAGGTTTGTCATACTTTGTTATATTACATCAAACATGCTCAAGAAAACATGAATAATTAACAAATGAACCGTTCACTNTTTGAAGATGATATATGAATTGTTTATAATTATATTCATAATTCGATTGATCCAATGAACTCTCTACAATGGGATCTTTCCATATATAACTTTATTGTGATCCAATTTCCTTATATCTGGTTGAAAATCACCTCCAAAGTAGCCTACATACACACTGAACTCAAAGGTAAAATTGCAGGTTTTTGGATCAGAGAAACATTAAACTTTTCATCAACTTTCGTATAGATTTCTGGATGGAATTTACTTCTGATTTGAACACGGTTTCTTCCTATGGATTCCTTGCAGCTTGATCTTTGCATATGCATATTATCCGAGATCTAGATACTTCTGGTATGCTCATAATCGCCTTCCAAAACTCTTGTTTAACCAGCTTCTATCTCATGTGCTCGTTTAGCCATTGTTTTGATTTCATGGATCTTATCATCAAAATCCATAGATTCAATAGAGTTCCAACTTCTTCTCCGGACCCTTTACTTTAGATATACTACTAATAAGCTGTTCAGTATCAAATTTAGGTTTCTCAAAAAAGACTTCTCTCCAAACCCATCTCCTGCAACACTTCAACGTTACCTTCTCAATCACTTCCTTTTTCTTCCAAGCTTTCATCTTTCTCCTCATCATCTCCTTTCGGTGCACTCAACCTCATTAATCTTCTTATACACAAACATTATCTCCAGCATCAGAGTCCTGTGTAAACACACAAAACAACTTTTTCGAGGTTGTTCAGAAAAAAATTAAACAC